CACTATGCACAAAGCAACTTGCATTCAAAATTGGGCTCATGGCAGTTCAGCAACAACCTCGCACAATAGCGTCATTAGACACGCAGGGCCGGCTCACAGGCACAGAGGCTGCTCTGCAGCTGGAGTAGCCACCGGGCTGGCCTGCCATGGGCTTGTTTTTTAGCTTTATAAAAATGCATCTTTAAAAAAAAACATATAGAAAGAAGATGCAGTATCTTTTTCTTAAAGGTTTGGGCAGGCATTGCTGTTTGAAGGCGGGGGAAGAGAGGATGGGATTTGTGATGTCCAAATGCCCTCTGTCTTTTGTGCCAGCTCCTTCTCATTGGCAAATCCTCCATTTCCAGAGTGTGGAGAGGACAAGTAAGGGACCTGAGTCTGCAGAGCCTTTGACTTCTGCAGAGCCTTTGACTTCTGCAGACTGACTGACTGACTGCTTTGAGAATCTTCCCTGGCAGGTTGCTGACTTAGTGGTGAAGGTCTCATAAGCCAAGAGGGAATTGAAAATTTAATCTCTCTGCTTGCCTTGGCACTGGTGGCTTTCAGGAAAAGGAGTTGGGTGCTGCGTGAATCTCGCAGATATTGAAAGTTGGTTCTGCTGGAGCTCTCAGCCTGATTTGAGAGTGGTTCAGGTTTGGCATTAATTGGCATGGTGTTCATTGTGTTTTAAAAACAACCCTGGCTTCTGCTGACCTGGAGAGGAATTCAATTTTATTAGTAAGTAGAGAAATTCAGTATAAAAATCAGCAGCTCACTGTCATTGGAATGGAGCCAGTCTTAGAAGGGATCAGCTTGCCCATGGCTTGTTCTCTGCACTGGACAAATAATTTGCCTCCCAGATTTCACCTTCTTCAGTTGTAACTGAGGTAATGAAGTCCTCCCTCCTCGCTTAGGAGCATCCGTAAGTCCAGGTACTGGGGGACATCCCCATAAAACTCTTGTTCCTCAGTGTTAGCTATGAGGCATTTTAACTACATGCCTCCATTGGAAAAGGTCTGAATTTAACAGGTTGGTGGCAGAAATGTGGAGGGAAGGATCTTCACTTGTGGGCTGCTATTTGTGGACTGCATGGCATCCATAGTGGTGTGGGTGCTCACTCCTCCCCAGCATTGTCTTGTGTCAGAGCCAGCTTGGGTCTCTGTTTCCATGTAAGTAACTGGAAATCAAGAGACAATTTGATTGCAGAACTAGCTGGCCTTCCCAGATGTTCTCCTAACACCATGTTTGGCACTGAACCTTTCAAGTCTTCCTCCTCTCCTTGTGCCTGTAAAATGTTTGTGTTTTAATGACTTTAAAGGCCTGGGATTTGCTTTGACATACCAAGTTAGTGTTTTCTTTTTCTGTATCAAATCTAGGTCAATCTCTGGCTTAGCACTAATGCTGCACTGAGCAAAAAGGATTGGCCACTAATGGTTTCAATTTAGTTTTTTATGGAGTAGAGAAAATTTCACTCGATAGCTATTTTCATTTTTATTCCATTGGCCTTTCCACCAGGCCTGTTGGGATGGAGAAAGTGTTTGTGATTTGATTAGTGGAGACCCCAGAATGAATCCTCCATGAATATGGATGAGGATAAGAGTTGCTGCTCACCTGTGTCCATAGGACATGCCTTCAGGGACTGCATCCCAGTGGGGGTTAAGTGGTGGGTAATCCCAAGCATGGGGATTTCTTTATGGAAGTGTCTTGCCTGTGATCCAGCATCATCCTAGCTGAGGTCCTTGCTTATATAACACAGGGGAGGGAGAGAAGAAGAGAAACTCCTCTGCTCCATGTGTCCATGTGCCTGTAGACAGTCAACATTCAATCTGAATCTAGGTTTGGCCAACATCTTTTGGAGGAGGCTCTTCCATGCCTGCAGTGTCAAAGGGCTGCCAGGACCATTCCCTGTCTCTTGTGATCCCTAATTTTGTCTTTCCCTGCCTTGTGGCAGTTGCTGTGCACCACAGCCAAAATCCAGATGAGATGATAACAGAAGCACTGAAACATCACAGCTTGGAGCATTAATGTGGAGCAATGAGTGTGCATGTGATTTATGTTATTTTTGTGGCTTGATGACACAATGAGATGGCAGAGAGAAGTTTAATGGGAACAGGGTGGCACTCACCCTTCCTGATGATGGTAAAAAAGGCCTGGGGCAGCACCAGTCCCTCCATTGGCACATGGATGCTGCATTGCTGGATGGCAGAGACCGCTGGCAGTTGGATTAGTGAGTGCCTCCCCTCTTAGGAGCTCGCGGGTGAATATTGTGATTGCATGTATTTATTTTTAAAATTATTATGGCCATTAGCATAGAAATGAGCTACAGCTCCCTGGCTGCTGGCCAGCCCCACCCGGGCTGACGTGCAGCTCTTCTCCTTGGCAGCTGGAACAAAAGCACCCGGCTGGTAACAGGGTCCTGCTGCTTGCCATGGGAAGACAAGTGACAAACAGGAGCAAGCACTCTGCTGCATCAGTTTGTTACAGTCAGTTGGGACGTATATGAAAACCTCACATGGGTCAGCAGAGATTTATCCCCTCCATGCAATGCCCTGTGAAGGAGTTGGGCTCCTGTCCCTCTCCTCTCCTTTTCCCTGGTGATTTATTCCCAGGCTGAAAACCCAGTAATCACTCACATTGAAGTTTTGTTGCTATTTTACAGGAGATGCTCCTAAAGTCTTTTGTCTCTGCAACTGTAAATAAACTCGCAAACCTGTTTTAAAAATAGAATTTTGTAGCTCAGTGCATGAATTTTTAATGCATCTTCTGCAAACCAGCTGGTCTTGGCAAGGGTCATAGTGTTTCCTAGGCATTTAACATAAAACTGTGCTTCAAAGCCACATTATAGTGTCGTTGAAGAGTAATATTTTACTTAACATCCTCATAACTGAATTATTTATAACTTTTCATGTTTTATTCATGATAAATATTAATACTGGTGTCTTTAAGAGTAGAGGTTATTGCTGCAGTTTTACCTATAAGAGGTGATATTATTGAAATAAAGGAATGGCGATGAATTCTGTAGCCAGCAGAGCAGAGTCTGTGCCGGGGCTGTTCTCATTCACACCTCCCTCTTTTATCAACCCTGTCAGCCACCAAAAAACCTCACTGCTGAGCATCTGTACATTTGAAAGGAATTTTCCTGTAGGCATCTGAATCCCTGCTTTAAAAAAAAATAATTCTTAGAGAGCTTTGTGTCATTCTTAGTAATTCTTGGATTCCTTTCTTGGTGAGGGTCCATAAGCTTTGGCTTTGCAAAAACACTCACCCTGATCTGGGTCTCCAGCCTTGAAATGATCTGCAGGCTCCCGTGGATCCCCAAGGGATCCAGCTCTCCTGCTGCAGGCACCCATGGATCCCCCATCTTTTGAAGCATCCCTTGCCCTTGGAAGGGGCATCACCTGGTGTGGGAGACTTCCTAGCTTTGGGCTAGCTTTCCATGTCTGAATGCTCTGGGCCATGATTAGTCTCATTTCAAGGCTAAATCTATATGAATTGGGTAAATTGCCATTGCACCATTGGTCTCCATCCTATACCAGAGAGGATAATTGCATTGGCTTTTATCTTGTGAAAGAGAAATACAATTTTCTGTGATCTTTCGCCTTGTGCTGGTGTGTCCCCATCTGGCTGGAACATTGTGCATCCACTCTCTGGTCCACCTCCTGACGTGGGGCTAGCTACCCATCCCGCCCTCATACCTACAAAACCTTCCCAACCCTACAACTGTGTGGGGCTGGGGCTTTGCTCTGTGCTACTCCATCAGCTTAACAAATCTGCCATCAGCGGGTTGAGAGCGGTGGTTGCGGGAGCAGCGCAGGTTAATGCAACACATATTTAATGTATGATTGCTAATGGCCATCTCCCATCTGCCTGAGCCCAACTGCAGTTTGCAGATGAATGATTAAGCTGCCCTGACACATAGGCAGCTTGTTCCTTAGCAGACCCACAGTCATTGCACTTGATGCATGTAAAAGGGGATGAGGTTTTCTTGCTGGGGAGAGGGATGTCATCGGGCTGGGGTAGCGGAGCAGGGGGTTCTCTTGGAGTTTGTTTTGTATGGTAATGTGAGAGACCTTCCTGTGGATGCAGCACTTTAAATGAATCATGAGCTCAATAACCACTGGGATGTTTATTAGCTTTGAATATGTTTATTGCAGAGTCAACAGGCAGCACCTTCCAATTAATTAATAGTAATAATTACGGTATTATTTATGTAGCTCTAGCAGCGTGCCAGTGTTTCCGCATGGTGGTTACAGCTGTGGCTTGCTGGAACAGGCTGGTCTGTATTCACCCTGCGTGGGCATGCTGGGGTTCATCATTTGCTGTTGGGTGGTCCCAGCCCCCAAAGCCTTGCTTTGCTGAGCTCTTGGCAGCTGTTCTTTCTTTTGGCTGAATCCTTTTTCTCCCCAGCCTGGGTATGTGGCTGTTCCTGCTGCAGTGCTGGAAGGCAGACTATGCAATGAGCAGGAGCACTTGCAAACAGAGGTAGAAGTCAAGGGCTGTATATTTCACTAGGATATTTTGGCATTCTTCTGCTCGAGGTATTTAAATAACATGAGTTTAAGAGTCAAGCTGTACATATCAGAAGGATATTTACAACAGGTAAGACATTGATGGGAACAGAAAGAATACAGCTGTCTTTTGATGTGGACTAGGATCCAAAGACTGCTCAAGCTATTGGGAATGACCTCTGATAAGTGCCAGTGCAGTGTCTGTGTTTCTTGCTGCCCTGGCAGACCTTACTGAGGACCATGAGGGTCTTGGAGCAAAGTCTTCTGTTCTGGTTGAGCCAATCAGTTCAATGTGCAGAAGCATGTGGCATACCAAGAACTTCCCACTAGTCTTATTCTTCTGTGCAGAAGGTTAGGCTGCAAGCTGGCCTTCTGCTCTTACATTATGTTACAGTCCTATTTGCATTCTGTGGGAAATGAGGCCATGTTTCTAGGTCATGTGAAGCTGCTGACATCTTCCAGTTGTTGGATCTTTCTTCACATGCAAATAATTTTGTCTTTCTTTTTGTCTTCCAGCAATGTCTGACTTCCACATCCACCCTCAGAATGCAGTGGTGGAGGAAGGTGGTGTAGCGAGATTTCAGTGCCAGATCCATGGATTGCCTGAGCCAGTCATCCTATGGCATAAGAACAGCATGCCAGTCAACACAGACAATGAAAGGTAGGACATGTCCAAGTCTTGTGCTTCTGAGCTTTCTCCAGGTGGGAAGAGATGGCCAGACTTTCTGTTGCTTTCACAGTTGTGCTTGGACACAATTAACCTGGGCTTAGGGTCTTGGCCAGTGTTTCCACCATGGAAGACTCTTCTGTTTAGTGTGTTGTGGCTTTTCTGGCTTGGTTCTTCTTTTGACCAAACACTTTGTGGGACTACTGGCATTTCCCAGGAGAGGTAGATAAAGCTATTGTATAAGCTGATGTTGAAGAGCTTGCACTGACTGTCTCTGATCAACCCTGCTCCAGGTTTATTTTCCAGCATGGAGACCTGCCCAGCAAGCCTCAAAGAGCTGGGTAGCTTTGGCATCCTTCATCCCTCCGTGGCTCCATTTTGTGTAACTCTTTCTGAGACAGGTCCATGATTTAGGAGCTTGCAAATGGGTCTTGGACTCTTGCAAGTGCTGAATTACCCTGTGGCTGCTATTCCCAGGTGGACTCCCTCATGTGTCACGACTGGGGAGCTCTGCAGAGAGCTTCCCACAGCACCCTGAGCTGCCATTTCCCAAACAACCTCCTAAAGAGAAACTCCAGCTGCCTCCCTTTCCAGCCGAGACCTGGAGCGGCACGTCGCCGCTTCCTGTGTTTGACAGGCTGCTCCCTTCGCGTCGGAAACGTCCCTCATCACGGTTTGATCCTCGCGCGGCGCGGGACAGGTGGCAGGAAACGCGTGCCTGGTGCTGGCAGCCCCAGCTGCAGCTCAGGAGCTGCACAACCAGCGGTGGGAGACAATCGCTCACAGCACACCTCGAGCATGGATTGACGTCCCTGCCTTGGGAATAGGCGAAACCAGGAAGCTGTAAATATTTTCCTGAAAGCCCTTATTCTTAAAAATGTCAGTTCTGTGGTTGGGTTCTTTGGAGGCAGGAGAAAACATGAGGGCTGGAACAATGCCTGACCTTCTCAGAGTGGCAGTGAACTTACAGTAGAAGGACCCAAGAGGCTCAAATCTGCTGTAGAAAACTGCAACTGTCAGGTTTTGTTTTTCCTTTCATTTTTCAGCTGAGCTTTTTTTAGCCCAGTGCAGCGTTGATTTGTTAAAGTTGATCTCCTCTGAAGGCTTCTTACTCATACAGGTGCTGAACTGGGGATACGGTAGAGCAGAGCCACTGATCCGAGGTGGCACCAGCAGAAGTAAGGGGTGGAGAACTGTGCTGGATGCCTTTGTGGCATCCCAGTGAGATGTTGCAGGACAGGTGAAGTTCCTCTGGAGTCCTTCATGTGTCATTGATCCTTTCCATTTGAGCCCAGGGACACAATTGTGGAGATGGTCAGAAATGTGGCAGGGATTTAAATGTGACCAGAACTTCTTTTCTCCAAGACTGGGGAACTCCAGGACTGAGAAACCCCAAGACTGAGGAGCTCCAAGAGTGAGAAGCCAAGACTTTTCTCCAACCCAGAAAGGTCCAAGCTGTGCCTGTTCCTGCTGCTTCTCCTCTGGGGAAAGGAGTTTGCCCAAGCCCTGAAGGATATGGCCTAGGAACAGTTTCCCTGCATTCATGTCCTGATTTTGAAGAGATTTGGCTTTTTGTAGAAGTAAAGTTACTGGGGAAGTTTTTTATTGCCAGCTCAGTAGATTAATCTCTGACACCAGAGCCTGGGTGATGAGAGTTGCTTCTCTAACTGAATTGGATTTCTGCATTAATCACGCTTGGTGCATTTCTGTGTATAAAGTGTATATAAATTTGTATGCCGAGTCTTGCACTTGGAGGCTTTGAAGGCAGAATAATAGCTTTGGAATTGAATCTTCTAATGCTGTGGGCAGATTGTTAACAAAAATGAAGGCTTCTTGTAGTATAATTCATCCAAAACAATGGGCATTTTAAAGTCCCAGAGAGATTGCAATCAACTTCGGGCCGTGTAAAACTGATTGCTGTCATGCTGCCACTGACACGGAGCCGTGCGTTTGGAACCCGGCGCAGGGAGCAGGTTATAGGCACTTAACCATATGCTGATATGGAGAAAGATACTCTTCATCTTCCGGACGGAAATGGATTATTAACTCATCACAGTGTAATGACTTACTACCAGCCAATTTAAACAAGTGGTTGCCAAGCAACCTGTAATGTATGTGTACATATATGTGTGTATGCACGCATGATTTAAATGTGCCTGTGTTTTAAAGATACAAAATATTTATTGGTGTTTACATTTGCCTGCTCAATATTTATTTTAAACATATATTTTCATGCATCTGAGGTTTTAAGGTCATATGGATTTGAGTCCTGGACCTGGAATGGGGAGTGTGGAGCACAGGTTTCTGATGCCTGTCCATGGTCATTGTGCTTCAGCTGATAAGTGATAATTCCCATGTCATGATAATTCCAATGTCAGCTGTCTTCACATGCAAATGCACTGCCAGAGCTTTTCCACAGGTTAAATAGAAAGCATCTATTTTGTAGCCTTCCAACAAAAATCATTTCTCCAGGATGCATCAGGAGATAAATTATTTTCTTTTACCACCCTGTAAAAGACGACCAGAAGCTCAAGTATCCAAAAAAAGTAAAACCCGATGCAGAAGCAGGTGTGGGCTCAGCCTAAAGGGCTGTTGACATCTTGGTGGTATTAGCACCTCTGCACTGAGATGCAGGGATCCAGCCTGCCTCGCCTGGGTGGGTGTGCAGCCTGATGTCACATTGTGTCCTGCTTTGCAAGCTTTTGATTCTGTTTTCTCCTCCCACAGGTACACGCTGCTTCCCAAGGGGGTTCTCCAGATAACGGGACTAAGGGCAGAGGACAGTGGGATATTTCACTGCGTTGCCACCAATATTGCTAATGTGAAGTTCAGCCGGGAGGCCCGACTCACCGTGTCAGGTTAGTGCCAGCTACACTGTCCTGGCTGCCTTCCTGCCTTCCTCCCACTGCTGTTCTGGACCAGGACAGTTTAAGAGAGCTTCAGGCTAACACAGTGAGAGGCATTCCTCTGTCCAGCCATAACACCTCCCTTGTTCTGGATTGTTATTTGTTAAAATCCCCTCTGCTGTGGGACATCCCAGATTCCCTGTGGAAATGGAGATTGCATCTTTGGAGATAACAGGCAAGGGAAGTCTGCTCAGGGATGGTTGAGTGGGTGTTTCCGAGTTCTTTCTTACACGCAGCCAAAGGTCTTTCCCCTGAGCTGTGATCCTCCTGCCCATCATATACATGTAATTGCTGCTACCCAGGAGCTAGAGAGTTTCCAGCATACAGTCACATCTTCCAGCTTCCCATCACCCTCCAAATCACTGCCTGGCCAGTAGTTCTGGAGCAGAGACTTAACACCTGTACCAAGTGTCAGATTAGCCTCTGCTGACTGTAAAGAAGCAGCACGTGTGAAATGGGGTGAAACCGAGGGAAGATTGATGCTGTGTATATCAGCTCTGATGGGGAATGAAAGCAGGTTAACTGGTTCTGAAAGACCAGCTTTGGGTGCCTGTTACTTACCTGTTAGCTTGATCTATGCAAACAGTAGCCACATGGAGAGAAGGAAAGAACAGTAAATTATCAATGTGGTGAAGTTCTTTGTGTCAGTTTACTGGCCTGAGTTATTATTTCTTGCAGGGCAGAAAGCTCCAGTTTTTCTCATCTGACCATCCCTCATTGCAGATGGATATTTTCCAGGTTTCCTGTCTGTGAAACATTTGTGGTTTTTTCTCCTCCTTAAAGCAGTTGGATGGTGAATACGGGCACCATGTGTGTCTGATGAAGGGTGTGGACCATACTTCAGTGCCTGCACTGCTGTAACTGGACATTTGCATGGAGAACTCATTGCACTGGGTTAAACCTCTGTGGAAAAGGTTTATGCTCTGTGGTGTTTGCTGAGAACATACAAATATCTGTTAGATCAGGACAGCAGGTATGTGTTAGCATGTGAACCCTGGGCTTTGGCACGGTAGCAGAGGCTGTGGTAAGTCACAGAGGTGCACAGGGCATTCATTGCTTTGCTGGTGTGGGTGTTGTGTCAGTAAATACTGGCAGTATCTACTGTGAGTGCACGTGGCAGTAGGCATGATGGGGTAAGCAGAATTCTTGCAAATTTTTTGTATCACCTCCCTCTTGTGTCACGGTGAAGGGAATGGTCTCTCTGCTCTCCATGATAGCAGGAGGGCTCCCACGTTTCCCTGCAGGACAGCAGCTTCAGCCATTGCTTCACCAACAGAGAAGCACCAGGTCTGCCTCCCTGAGGTTTCCAATCCAAGCCTTGGCTGGGGAGGGAGGAGGGAGAGGGTGAGAACGGGCTCTGGAGCCCTGGAGGAGGAGGAGGAGGAGGGTGGCCGCCTGTGGCAGGTGAAGGAGCCTGCTTGCAGTGCTCTCCCTCCTCTCCGTGGCTGCTGGCAGTGAGCAGCACAGAGATGTCTTCCAGTCCTGCTGATTGATTATTTTCAAGTGCCTGCTCAGCAGAGCTGCTCCCGAGGGGGCTGCCTGCCTCTCTGCACTGACACCTTTCCAGTGCGAGCTGCAGCTCTCTCTGCTGCTGTCCTTTTGATCAAGATCTGGCAGGCGACGCTCCTGTCCCTGCTGGAGTGCCTGTCACTGCTGGCAGTGCTGGGGATCTCCCCATCCTCACTGTGACTGCTGCTGGCAGGGTCCCTGGGGACCACAGGCATCATTAAAGCCTTTTCCCCTTACAGAATAAATCCCTGCGCTGCCCTGAACCCTGCTGAGCTCCAGCAGCACTCACCTGCCACGAGTCCCTCATTTCATCACTCCTTCCTTCCTGACCCTGCATCAAAGGGCTGGTCTGGTTGAAGAAGGAAACCTCCTCCTTGATGTTGGGACATGGTTGGTCTCTGTGTGACACTGGCATCTGACTGCTGTGTCCCAGTCCCTGCTGACCCTGGAGCTGTCACTGCTGTGGGTGGTGGGCTCAGCAGCAAAGCTATGGGGCTGTTCCATGGCCTTTGCAGGAGAAGGTAAGCAGTGGTGGAAATGCCACTTCCAGAGTTGGACAGCATTTGCCCAAACTGAGGGAGCTGAATCCACACTCAAAAACCTGAGTGTCTGCTTAGGACTCAGAGTAGAAATCAAAGAATGTGATTTTAAAATATTTTATTGTCAAACTAGTGTGTTTCATAAATTCTGCTTTGAGCTTGGCTCCCGTTTGCTGATATTCTTGGGTGACCTTGGACAATTCATTTCATTTCTCAGTGTTTTGAAATATTGAAATCGCTATATAATACGCTGATAATACCGTATTATTCTAAGCGTGAACATTTAGTATTGTGATTCAGAACAATAAATCTACATGGTTTTAAAGGCACTCCGAGGTACTGAGGAGAAGGTATTGTTTTTCAGATCTCTTGGGGTTAAACAGCCGGTCATATGAATTTATTGTGCATTCTGGCTCTCATCAAAAAAATCTGCATTTTATGGCTTGCAGTGAAATGCATTTAGTGAGAAAGTCAGCTCTTAAGTCACACTGACATGGTGATTTTTCTTGGATTTTGCCCATTTACACACAAGCTTGGAGTCTCTTTATCGCTCCCTGCTTAGCCCCCGTAGGAACAATTAACAAACGAGCTGCTCTGATCTGTGCTTGCCCTTGGACCACTGTGGAATCCCCCTGCTATGCCCTGATTCCAGCCCCTGAGCTGCTGTGGAAGGGTAATACTCAAAAGTGCAGAAAGAAATTGTTTTTCTTGGAGAAAAGCCCCTGTGGATAGATTTTGGTGGATCACTTCTCTGTAATGAGCCTTTTGAGCATTGGAAAGTCCATGTACAGGAGTCAGTGTGGGTTGGTCCCTGTGGAAAAGCCCAGCCAGGGCTGTGCTCCCCAGCCCTCCCTGTGCCCCACTCCTGCTCAGGGGCAGAAGACCAGCCCAAGTATCTCTCTTTGCAGGTGTACAGAGCTTTTTTTGCCAGCAGCTGTAAGATTGATGGAATTCCTTAAACACTGCTTTGACCCCAGCATTTCTGGAGCATAACCCAGCTCTCATCAGAGATGGGGCGAAAGACTAATGCAGAGATTTTAGGTATTCCTGTTTACTGATGGAGAAATGAGAATATCTCTTGGGTTTCCTCTTCTCCTGCTTCCAAATGGGACTAAAGGCTGCAGGGACATTCAGCCTAGGGATAAGGCACTTTTTAGGGACTCAGGAGATGTGGGTTCAGCTGTGGTATACATAACACAGGATGATGTTTTTGTCCCATGCTATTGTTCTGTCTAGTGAAATGTGTTTTCTTTTGCCTTTCTTGTTCCTGTCTGGTGTCCAGGGTCCTTGTGCTAGGATTTTGTTCTATTATGGGTCTGTACATCCATCTTACATGGTGGGTTTTATTCTTAGTTGCTGCCACTTGGTGCTACTATAGTGCAAATAAAGGATTAGTTAGCAATTGTATCATGAGCAGCAAATGTGTCACAGTTTTATCAGTGCAATGGGGTGCATCCTCTCCCTGAAGGAAAATGGTAGGAAAATGTGGGGTGCAGTCATCAGAGGAGTTTCCTCTCAGAAAGCTCCTCAGCTGGAGTCAGGGGCTGTTACCTCCATCACTCCTTGCCCCAGGACAGGTGTTTTTGAGTAAGTGTCACCAGCAGCAAGGGAGGATGCTCACAGAGACAGAGTTAGGCATTGTGGTCTCTGTGGATTACTTTATGGCCTGAAATGCTGAAAGATAAAACAACTCCTTCATTTATTTGCATTCTTGCTGTTTTGCATGTTATGTTTTCCTTATATACCATGCAAATCTTCTTTTTGCAGTTCACAGTGCAGTTCCCTCTTTATGCTGCTGATATCCAAATGTTAACAGGGCTGTTTGTGGCTGGATCATTGGTTCAGGGGTTTTCCCCAGGAATAATCAATACATGCTTAAAACATGTTCAGTGTGACTGACACACAAACACTGTGCTCCTTTTGTTTCATGTGCATCTCAGATTTATTGAGGGTTACACCAGCCACTTAATTTAGAAACCGGGAATGGTTTGGGTTGGAAGGACCCTTAAAGATCATCTCATTCCACCCCCTGTCATGGACAGTGGCACCTTCCACTACAGCAGGTTGCTCTGAGTCCTGTCCAGCCTGGTCTTACACACTTCCAGGGATGGAATCCACAACTTCTCTGGGCAACCTGTGCCAGGGCCTCACCACCCTAACAGGGGTCTTCCTTGATCTCTTCCAAACATCTAACCTAAATTTCCCCTCTTGCAGTTTGAACTCATTATTCCTTCCGCTGTCACTACAGTTCCCGATGGAAGAGGATATGTACTTAGAGGAGATGTGTTTACAGAGGATGCCTGGAATCCTCGATGTTCCCTTTAAACAAGAGGGAATCAGAAGCCTTCTGACCATGGTGCTGTCATTGCAGGCTCCCACTCCACGGTGTACAAGGACCCCATGATTCTTGTGGGCCCGGAGAACCTGACGCTGACCGTGCACCAGACAGCGGTGCTGGAGTGCATCGCCACCGGCAACCCCCGGCCCATCGTCTCCTGGAGCCGCCTCGGTAAGCCCTAGGGGTCACTGGGATTTCCTCCTCCTCCTCCTCTCCATAGCCATCATGTAGGAAATAGGTAGGTGCCACCGACTGTTTTATACAACAACTGATTCACCCTCTCCCTTCCCACAGAAGGTAATTGTAGGCTTGAAGTGCTTTTTATCCTCATGCCTAGACTTTGTTTTTTCTCTCTGCCAAGATTCTGTTTTCAGCTGTTAGAGAAGTGGGTTGGTTAAACCTGTAGATGTTTCATGAAAGGTGATAATTTTATCTTTTCTCAAGTGACAGCATCTTCTTCTGCTGCATCAAAAACATCACCACTGTTGGCCTAGAGAAGCAAAATCATACACAAACACATCTTTCACATAAAAACAGACTTGAAAGAAATTTGCTGCCTGTTCAGGGAGTTTTAAAACAATTTTAAGGGGGAAAGAGTGTTTAAGGTAGTGTGTCTGAAGCCCTGAAAAAACAAATGCTTGCTGCTGGGGCCTGTGATATGTTTTTAAATCAGCATGGAAACCAGAGACAGTGTCTGATGGCATCATGCAAGTGAGGAAGAGCAAAGGGCCATGTTTCTCTAAGGTTTATTTTAGGTTCTAACTTTGTTATGATAGCTTAGAAACTGTTTTGCTCAGAGCAACACTTCCATTGCCCTTCAGAAACCTGTGCTGAGTGAAGAGCTGATGGATTTTGTTCTATCTCCCAGAGCTTGGAACTCTGCCTGTGTGCACAGTGGGGTTAGGTTCAGTTAGGATTTCCTGAGATCTTGTGGTCCTTGAGGTCACATCATTTTTGGGATGCTCATCTCCTTGTGTCCAGGGTGGCTGTGAAGCACAAACAAGGATAATTCTGTCTCATGCTGCTGTGCTGGATGTGGGACTCCACCCCCATGGCTCTCCAAGGGTCAGGGTCAGCTCATGGGCAGGGTGACTTCCCACTCCAGAGCTGCCTGCCCAGGGAATGAGTACTTGCATCCAATATCAGCTGAACCTTTTTGCTATGTTTTCCCTCCTTGCATCCTCCAGTGGCTTGTAAAATCAGCCTTTGTATGCCACTAACTGGTATTTTTGCCTCCAGAGCCATAACCATCAGATTGATGCTGTTTTAAAAATTCCCCAGATACTCTGTATCACTGGTTTGGTTCTCTTGGACACAAGGCAGCTCTATGTTAGTACTCAACTATAATAAACTACTTTATAATTGCCTTAATTATAAGTGTTTATTACCTTCTTGAAAACACTTGTCTCTATAGCACAGTGCAATAATGAAGATGTAATAGCACTGTGTGATGTTTGTCTGGATGGTCTGAGCTCAGCATTGCCTTCCACCAAAAATAAATATCCTCTCCACTCTGCTTTGCAGCACAGCAGCATAATCAGAGCTACTGAATGGGAAACAGATCCTGTTATTTTCCCTCCCCTTCAGCAGGAATGTTTCCTGTCCAAAGCATCACAAGGTCTTGTTTAAGATGACAGTGATCCTGACAACGATGCACTGCACGGGCTTTTGGATGACTTGGAGGTTTTGTCATCTCTTTGTAGCCATTTCAGAAGTGCTTTCATCTCTCCTTGTCTGTGTGATCACAAGGAAGGAGAGGGGTTTGTGCTGGACAGGGAGGTCCTCAGAGTATCTGTCATCTCTGACTTCTTCCATGTGAAGGTCTTCTTCCTGAAGTTCCTCCTACAGGTAACTCACTCAGCTTAGAAAAAAAATCACTTTTAATCCATAAAAAAATCCACAGCCACAAAATCTCAGAGAGATGCTGCTGATTTAGCAATGGGAATGGCTTTATTTAAGCAAAAGAAGTCAATTCTGTGTGAGCATCTTTATTGCCTTGTAGAAGTAAGGAAGAGCTGTGGCATTGCTTGTTTTTCTGGGGCTTTGCACAGGGAACATTGCCTTTTTGGAAACTCTCTCTGAGCCCCTTTGCTCACAGTTTTGACATTGTGGCATTTCTTCTGTCAAAAAGGAGCAAAAGAACAATTTTGCTTTCACAGCTTTCTGGTACAGGGAAAAGCAAGCTATAAACACCATTTGCACTTCTTGCTTTGGCTTTGCTAAAACCTGGCTGGTTTTCAGTGGGAAAGGCAGCTATATTTCACTTGAAGGAAATCATTCAAATTCTGGGCCAGTTTTTGAGTGTCACACAATCAATTTTGAATTTAATTTCTTTGGGAATATGTTGTAGCGCCTGACCACAAACAGAATTCCTGTGTCTCGCCATGCATGAAATGTCAACATTCATTAGAGAGCAGGCTCTGAGAGAGATGTAAAATCATTAAGGGTTTGTTCAGGGAAGATAGGGATTTTCCTTTCAGAGCTACGCACTTCAGGCTTGGACCTGTATGTGTGCACAAATGAATATCCTGGGCACTTACTGCAAAGCCTTTTGAATGAACGACGATTTTAATGTATCCTTACCCTTTAACTGACAGGCCACTGAGCTGGCCTCCATAAAAGGTACCAAAGCAGAATAATAAACTATTTAGAGAGATACAGAAAAGTGAGGCGAGAAAGAAAGGACAGTGATTATCTGATAGCGTTATACAGAAGTTGTCAGAAAGAGCTGCACAATGGGAAGGAAATTACTAAAGAGGGAGCCATTCAAGAAGTAAACTATACAACAATTGTAGGAGCCAATTAATTGGTAACTTATTGGACACAGAAGCTTGCAATAGATTGCTGACTGGTTGACAGGAGCACCGTTCCTGTAAGTGTTTAGAAATAATAGAGTAAATTTCACCACTTCACATACTGAATAGTCAACTGTTGCAATGTACTCTAAATATGCTAATCCACAGTGCCCAGTGTCCGCAGGAGCAGGAGACCCATGTGTCTAAAAAGTGGAAGGCTACTATGACACAATACAAAGAATTCACAAAAGACCTAAATGATCAACATTAGAAAGTTGTTACTTTCTTTCTACTTGCTACTTACAAAAGAAAGGCGTTCGTGTTGTTGCATATTCATATCGCCTGGCACGTTTTGGGGAACCTGGAAGTACCTAAAAGAAAGCTGGAGGGGGACTTTTTGCAAGGGTGTGCAGTGATAGGACAAGGTGAAAATGGCTTTAAGCTGAAAGAGGGTAGATTTAGATGGAATATTAGGAAGAAATTGTTCCCTGTGAGGGTGGGGAGGCCCTGGCACAGGCTCCCCAGAGGAGCTGTGGCTTCCCCATCTCCAGAAGTGTCCAAGGCCAGGTTGGACTGGGCTTGGAGCACCCTGGGATAATAGAATTCTCTGTCCATGGAAGGGGGATTGGAATGAGATGATCTTTATGATCCCTTCCAACCCTGTTCTGTGGTTCAGTGAAGTCTCTACTTGTCCATGGACAGATCATCTGTTGGGAGCATCTCCCATTTGGAGAATGGTCTCCTTTATTAATTATCTGAAACAAGAGCTGAACCTCCCCCTTTTGTCCTCATCAACTGAGGAATCGAAAGAGAGAGTCTGTCAGGTATTTCCCTCCAGGCTGGCTTTTTTTCAGCCCTCAAATTTTCTTCTTTTGACTTCTTTAAAAGAAGTGGAAGGTCATGGTAAATGAGCAGTGGTTTCAAGCCTGCCTGGGTCCTGACAGCTTTTGGAACTGAGCAAGTGTTGGTTTTGCAGACTTTCAGGTCTCCTCCATGAAGAGATGACTTTGTGGTGGCAGGTGATGCCAGGAAGGTGGATTTACAGGGTTTGGATTGCCTGATCCAAACCATTCTTCAGGTCTCCGTGTAAAGAAAACAGGGTTAAAATAAATAGCAACCTTTGCAAAGCAGGTGTGAAACATCAGTCCCTCAGCACAGCAGTTCTGCAAAGTGCTGAGCTTTCAGGATGCAAGGAATTTCTTGTGTAAACACTCTGTATTATTTATATGTGTTGTCAGTGTTGCTAAGTTGGACTAGATATTAGCTGAAGACCTTCTAGCTGACTGCAGGATGGCTCAGGCTGAGTGAGGCACAGTAGAGTGAGAAGGATGGAGCAGACCAGGAAAGTAGAGATGTTTCTGTAGAAGCCCTTTCCAGTGCTTTTGGAAAGGGAGGGGTTGAGTGAGAGGTGTCTGAGATGATCAGGGACAGTAATCTTTGCTGGCTGTTGGAGGTGGCCACACTGACCCAAATGGCAGATCCATCGAGGCTGCTGAGCTTGAAGAGCTTTGTTCTCCAGGGAAAAGAGAGATGTGTGGACAGGTGATGTTTCCTCAGACCACCAGACTTCTAATAACTGGAGTTGGAGAGATAATTGAGGGCATATTGATGCTGGTATTTGGACTGGGAGGGGAGCACCTGCTGCAGGCTGAATCTTTGCATGCTTAAATGATGGAGCATGTTATAAATAATACAGTAAAACTGCTGACATTCAAGTCACATTTCCGTGGTATTTCTCAAGGTATTTCTCAAGTGATGTGATGAAGGATCTGGATATGACCATTTCGCATCTTTCACCAGCCCCATTCCTCCCTCAAAAGGGAGATTTGATTTTTATGCCTATTGTAAATACAGACTTCCAAAAGGTCTAATTTAAAAGATGAAATCAAGTTCAATTTGGATTTAATTCAGACCTCTTTACACTTCAGTTCAAATGCTGTTTGGAAGGAATGATTCCTTGTTATTGCTCATTAAATGTGGGACAGGTCATGTTTTACTGTCCTTTTTATGACTGAGCCATTTACTGTGGTGGCTTGGCCAGCAGTGTGATCCTTTAATGACATTGTTTTTCTCTCTCTAAAAGACCTGAGCATTTTTCTTTGCAATGCAAATAATGAAGAGGTCTGGCATTTCCTGTCTAATGAAGCAATGAAACCTTTAAGCTTCAAAATTTCCTGAAAAACAATATATGCAGAGCATGGCAGGAGATGGGTTTGGGAAGTGCTTTTGTAGCTCTCAGTCCCTGCTTTGCTGATGTTTCCTAGCTGGATGCTGCCTGGAATCTGAAATGGAATCCCTCACTCCTCTGGTTGTATTGCGTTTGCATGACAAGATTTTGATAGTGTGGGGGCTACAGGGGTGGGTTTAGTGAGGAGTTGCTGGGAGCTTCCTCCTATCCAATGGAGCCAATTCCAGCTGGTTTCAAGATGGGCCCACCACTGCCCAAATCCAAGCCCATCACCAGTGGTGGTGGCACCTCTGGGTTAACAAATTTAAGGGAAAAAAGTTATTGCACAAGAGCAAATTGCAGCTGGAGAGAGGAGTGAGAACATGAGAGGAACAACCCTGCAGACCCGAAGATCAGTACAGAAGGAGGGGCAGGATCTGCTCCTGGTGCCAGAGCAGAGAGTCCCCTGCAGGCTGGGGTGCAGCCCATGGTGGGGCAGCTGTGCCTCTGCAGCCCATGGAGTTCCACAGGTAAGCAGAGATCCATCTACAGTCCATGGAGGAGCAGGAGTTTTCCCAATCTGTTCCAGAACCTGTTGGTTATGAATGACCCAAATTTTCTAATATTTTTTATTATGCAAAGCATAATATTAAATCTAAAGCATGTGATTGCAGGGTAACTTTTAGCTAGCCCTGTATGCTGTCTGTGTTGGAGTGTGAAGCTCATGGCAAGATTATGGCACAGACTTTGGAGCACAAGACCAGGCTCTTGTACTGTAGTGGAGCACATGAGTATGGAAGTCTCGTGGGAGGTCAGGTGGGTACATCACTAGGGCTGGTTCTTGCTTCTCTGGGTCCTGTAGGTTCTTTAAACTCCTCCATGAGCAAACTTGAGAGAACTGAATTCCTGATCCATGTCTGATGAAAGTGTGCTCCCTTTAACTGCTCCTCCAGTGAAACTCCTCCCCTGCTTTGCCCCTCTGCTCAGACACCCTGACATGTGTTAGGCCTGATTTAGAGCTGCCTTTGTCAGACAGTGTCTTAAAACAAAATCAATGAAACAATAGAAAGCAATAGCCTGATACTAATGAAACACATTGTAATTAGAGCTGGCTGGGAATTTTCCAGAGAAAACAGGAAAAAAGTGAATTCCCTGATACTGAACTATTTCACATGCCTCATATCCAGCACTCAGGGTGCGAGCAGCCCTTTTCAGTTGCCTTTCCAAGCCAGAGTCAATGAGATCTACCCACCAGCTCAGAAACCACTTCCTCAGCCCTGAGTTAGTGTGTGTTCAAGGGCTAAGGAATCAAAAATACAGGGTTCTCTTATTTTCAGAAGCCACAAAAATCCATCAGTGGTTGTCAGGTAAAGTGGTGTAACTTCTGTGTCAGGTAATATGCAGGCCATAAATTGCTGGTGGCTGGGAAAGTGCATCAGGGAAACACTGTAGTAGGTTGGCTGGTCTTCTTCCTGAAGCCTCTCTATTGGAAATAGACTATTGAGCTGATTGGATCCCTGCTCATTCTAATGCAAGAACCCAGGCAATGGCTCAGAGAAGCTGAGATGATTTAGCTTGGTTTAACCAGTCTGCTGAACTGTGTTCTGGGTGCTTCATCTTAATCTGAGCACGTGGTTGAAAGCTTTCATTTTTCCTGTGGTGGTACTTTGGGTTTTTAAGCAGCAACAAAGAGTGATTTTGGGCAAACATGTCAATAAGGATCTGATTTCTGTAGAAGGCAGTTCTGATAAGAGCATCAGCTAAATCCCATGGACTTTACTTGGCAAATGGCAGTAGCAGAATGTGGCACCACTCCGAAAGTACTTAGACTGGACCTCACTGAGGGCTGTGCCCTGGAGAACCTCACCCAGAGCTCCAGCATGTGACTCTTGTCTTTCTCTCCTTCTTTCAGACGGCCGCCCGATTGGCGTGGAGGGGATCCAGGTGCTGGGCACAGGAAACCTCATGATCTCAGACCTCACAGTGCAGCATTCTGGCATCTACGTGTGTGCCGCCAACAAACCCGGCACGCGGGTGCGCCGCACCGCGCAGGGCAGCCTCGTCGTGCAAGGTGAGCCCCTGGGACCCTGAGGGCTTGGGTTGGACAAGTGCTGACTTCACTTCTCTGGTGGTACCAGAAAAACCACTTCTTTTCTAGACATGTGGTTTCCCAGGTGGGTGTTTGTCTGTGTCCCACACAGGTGAGTCACAACCAGGTATGGTTCAACTGAGGCATCAGCTGTATGGGCTACAGTGGTTTCTCACTCAATCACAGGCATTCTTTTTCTTAGCAGACACTGGTTGTTACTTGTTATCATACTTGTGTATCTCAGCAGAAAGCCTGAATTGATCAGCCAAATTCATTGTCTCGTGGTCCTCAGTGATACAGGGACATGGTCACTGTTCTCATACTGGACATCTCTGAATGATAGGTATGACTCCTGCAGTGATATGCAGCAGTGGATACCACTCACAGAGTATTGCTTTCCAACTGAAATGGCACCAATAAGTCTAAAACCATTTCCAAAAAGTCTGTGAGACTGTTTCATGTAGCAGTTGATACTATGTCTGAGCCAGTTTCCAGGACCTAGTTGAAGCACATTTTGGGGGCTGTGCCCATGGGATACAGGTTACTCCTGTTCCTGCAGCAAATGTCCTGAAATGCTACTTATAAAGGGCAGTTCAGCCCAAAGTAGAGATCAGCACTAGGGAAAGCACACAAGTCCTTTCCACATGCTCCATACAACCAGTCTCCATGGTGAGGGGAGCCAGGCAAGCATTTGAGAAGGCAAACCCAGCTGGCAGTGTGCTCTGAATGGCAGCAATCCGCCCCTGATTACAGGCACTCACCTCCTCTTCAAGCTAGTCCACTTAAAGCATCCCGCTCTCATCAGTTCACTCATTAACTATTGACTGATGATATCCTGAATCTAAAATTACACACCTCCTGCTGGAGCTGCTAATTGAACCTTTCTGCTGCTGATGGGGAAAGTGCCTTGCTCCAGCCCTGGTGCTCACCCTGCTCCAGCCCTGATGTCACCCAACAGATCGCAGGAGTCGCTGGCAGTGATCCCACCAGCCGTGGAGGAGCAATGTAGAAAGGGTGCAGAAAGGGCTGCCTGTGCCTCCTGAGGTGCTGATCAGGCATGAGACAAGGTGAAAACTCACTGTTTCTCTTGCTTTTGGATTTCTGGGTGAGCAGTGCAATGAGGGGACCTCCCAGCTGGCACAGCTATGAATCCCCTGATTAAGAAACATCAGCTCCAGCATTAAGAGCAACCTCTCTACAGATTGAAACCCTTTAGAGCTGCTGCAGGACAGCACTGCACATGGTAGTCTCCTAAGCCCAAATGCCACGCTGATGTCCAGGAGGCAGGGAGGCAGACCCAAAACAAATTACTTGGAAAATCCATGAAGTTTCAAAAATACAGCTATCAAATATGGTTGACTGCTCCTGTTAGCAACTGAGTGAGAGGCTGAAAGGTAGCACAACCTCTCATTGCTACAGATAGCAGTTTTTAGTCTTTTTGGAGATTTGATCATCAGCTCTTGAGCAACTGGTCTAGTGCTGGAGTTCAGCTGCTGTAGAATTACTGTGTATTTTCTCCTGGCAAGCCAAGATAAAATTTTTCCCCAAAATGTCACTCACAGTGCCATTGGAGCCCAGTCTTTCTTTGGAAAGAGGATGCTCCTGCATCCAGCATCAGCAGAGAAGCTGGCAGTGGTGTGGAGAAGTGTGGCCAGTGTGCTCTTGGAGTAGCCCTTAGACAGGACCTGCAGTGTCCAGGACCCCAACCTGTGTTGCCCATCCTTAAAGTGCTTTCTGTTTTTTAGGGGAATGTTCCCCAAGCAGGGTAATGGCAGACCCTGGCCAGGCAGCTGAGCTCATCCCAGGTTTGTTCACCCTCCCTCTGGAAGCAGTTTTTCCTGCCTCTGCATCTCATTTTGCCTGAATTTTCCAGCTGAGAGGTACAAATGATTGCTGTTCAGGTTCGTCTGGGAAGAAAACAGCGATAATGACTGACATGGGAGACTGTGGGTTTTATCTTTGTCAAGATGTCAGTGATGCAAATTACATCTGTAAAGAGAAGAAAAGCAAAGAGCAGGCTATCAAAAGCCTGGTTGGAGAGGAAGTTAGCACAGGGCTAGGACAATGCGGCGTCCTCAAAGCACACCAGGCCAGGTACTTGCTGCCTTTATGCAGGGGCCCTTGAAGTGCCTGGAGACACAAATTAACTTGCCCCAGTCTTTTGTAGGAGGGATGTTTTATAGGTGGGAAACTGGAGGAGAAAGGCTGATATTTCCTGTTGTAAGACAAGGAGCTAGTGGGAGGCTGGAACTGAGATCATGTCCTCCCTGCTGACAGTGGTGGTCCTTGTCCCATCCAGCAGCTGCATGGGCAGAGGTGTCCTAACACAGGGCTCTGCTCTTCCTCCAGCAGTAATGTCCTTTCCACTGCAGGTTTTCCTTCAGATAATCTAACACCATCTTATTATCTTCCTGGGAATTCTTCCTCCCTCCAGAGGAGAAGGCGTCAATCCCCCACTCCTTCCCTCCCTACCCTCCCTTGGCCATTTAGGCTCCTTTGATCTCTTTTGTAAGGTTCTCACACAAGAAAGTTTCCATTTTCCCTTCAGATCCCAGCGCAGCCATTTGAATATTGCTTTGTGCTGGGCTTCGAATGAAAGTCTCACGGGGGGAGTTGTCGAAGGGCCGAATGCGGCGCCGACTGAAACCAAGGGTGTGCGTGTGTGTGAGGCAAGGGAAGAGTAGGCTTTGGTGGCAAGGGAAAAAATATATCAAAGCACTTTCCCTCTACCTCCTGTGCAATCTTTTGTGCTTTATTATGTGTTTGGTGTCATAACAAACTGATGGGCTGTGAATGGCCAGATGGTCACCAGTGTTCTCCACTCCACGCTTCATTTCCTCCTGAAAGCTATGCAGAAAAATGAGATCCTATCTCATAAATGAGGGCCCATCTTAAGGACATGGGTTTGAAGGCTCTGCTGACAATGCCTGCCTTGTTCGCCTTGCTTTCTGTTGGCAGGACTGGGCAGCGCTCCTTGGTCCAGCAGATCCGGCCACCGCTGCGCTTCCTGATGTTTCTTCCATCGTTCTTGCTCACTGGCATCACAAGCCTTGGCTGCGGGCTGCAATTCAGCAGCAGATGTATTGCAGTTGCTGTGGTTTAGGCTTGGCTCTGTGGTACTTGGTTTGTCCTTGAGTTTAGCCCTGAATTCATTCTACAAACAAGCTTCAATATGTGCTCTGTGGGCCAGTGTTCCCCATGGAGCAGTTCTCCACATTTTCTTTCAAGAAAAGCCACCATGCAGGGACAGGTGGGCACTCAAATCTTGTCTGTCAGGATGCTGAAGTGATCTGGGATGTCTGATCCCTATGGAGCGTTCTTCCAGGACCACACTTGTGGGTGACATGGGGACATGACTCTGCTGCTGTAGAACTCTGGCCTGCACCTTGATGGGACAAGAATTTAATGAGGGCTGAAAGACAGGCTCCATGACAACCCCTTTGAGTGTTCTTTGCCTGTTTTCCAGGGGACATGGCACAGTTTCCACCTTTGGCCCTTGCAGTCCAATCAATGATACTGTAAGTTACTCAGGTAAACATCTAAATATCCTCTATAGTGAACAGAGAGAAGCCAAGTGAGCAGCAGTTGTCTTAAATCTCCTGTCACCATCTGCTGTGCTTGAGTGACTTCCCTGTTGACCTGACTTCTCCTTTATACCCTTATTGTGAGTGCCAGTAGCCTAATTTATGAGGTTTTGTTGCTTCCATGTTATTCTTCCTTCTCTTTATCCCAGCCTCCCTCCCTGACCCTGCCACTCTGTCCACTTGAGAATTAATGACACTTTATAGTGAGATGCAAGAGGCACAGATTGGTCTGGCACCAGAGCATTGGCTGTCAGTGCTCCCTTAACCTTAGGATCTTCTCAGTGATCCTTGGGACCTTCTGTGAGCCATCAAGCACAGCCATAAGCACCACACCACAATCTCATGGCGAGGACAGCAAAGCTCCCTGATATTCTTGGGGGACACACTGGTTGCTGGTCCCTGCTGACAAGTCCTGGAAGAGATGGAGCCCACGGGGGTCTCCCATTAGAAGATAGTATTGCAGTACATCTCCACGCTATTACAGTTTGCTGAGCACAGTAAAAGCTATTGAATCACTTAATTAACAATTCTGGGGGTGGTATTAAGTGTTATTGCTTTTTGATACCAATGTCATGCCTTTAAATATTCATTCAAACTGCATGATCCCCTCCCTCCCATTAAGTCCTGAATAATCAACGTTTTGGTTTCTTCATACTTCACAAGGCAGGGCTGGATCTTGCCCACTCTTCCTGTCACGTTTGAATCCTCTACTCCTAACAGTGATCTTTATTACGGATATCTTTATTAAATCATAATGGAGGGCTGAGAAATGCTTCCTCTGGCTGCCTGCAATGGCCTTTTGGCATGTAGTGTGGAAAGGGCAGAAGCGTTCAGGCCACTGCATCTCCATGCAGAGTGGGATGGGCCCTGACAGGATGCTCTGTTAATTATGAGTGATGATGAGGATGAAGGGCTGGCAGCAGGCAGGGCTTAGCTGAAGGCAAAGCTGGCAGTGGGCAGGGTTTGCTTTTGCTCCTTCCCCATTAACCCAGGCAAACTCTTGGGTCAAAATCATTTGGAAGGGCAGGGGAGAGGACCTGGGAGAGGAGGTATTTTTGTGCCCAGGAAAGGAGCCATTTGCCCTGAGACCACACACCAGCAGTTGCCTGAGGGCGCCTTCCTTGGGGCACTGGTTATGAACACAGGCTGGGTGCATCCTGGTGCAGGTAGCAGAGGGACAGCCACTCAGTCCCTGTCCTTTGAACTCCATCTGTTCCCAGACCATGTCCTCTGACTGCATGGGTTTCTGTTTCAACCTGGGCCATTTTGGCACTACAACTTCACACTGCTGAGACCTCAACAGGACAGAACAATGTCTGGGGAAAGCCAGGAGGAGCAGAAGCAGTGGAAGGGCAGTCTGTGCCTTGCAGTGAGGAATGCCATGGAACGGGGGACAGCTCGGCACAGCAGAGGTGGGAACGTGCTCCCCAGAGAGTTTAATCAAGTTAAGCAGGGTCTGGGTTGTGTTTAGCAAGGCAGCAAAGAGGAGGGGTGGCAGAGAGGAGCAGGGACCCGAGGAACCTGTGGGGCCATGGCACCAAGCAGTGTCACTGGCGCCGAGCCAGCGGCCGCAGCTGCACGTTCGTTACCCCGAGTCACACGCGACACCGCTCCAATTACTCCCTCTTGACACGGGCTAATAAGGGAGGATAAGGAGAGCTGGTGGTTCCAGAAGGGTTATGCTGGATGCTTCTTTCCATATTTCAACTTTGTTTCTGCTGGAACAAACGATGGGTTTGAGATTTGATGAAGCGAGGGGGAGGCAGAGGCAAAGAGCCAAGAGGATCTTTAGTGAAGCTGTAGTGAGGTGGCTGTGCCCTTCCTTGGCATCGTGGGTTTGCACCTGCGAGTGCTGCGGGTGCAGCTCGGGAGCCCAGATGAAAGCAGGGAGGTGCACAGCCACTTGCAAAATAATTGCTCCTGCAAAACTGGGCCAGCACAAAGCGAGGGGCGGGAGGCTGAGGAAAATCAAGTCTCTAATGCTCTCACTGTACACCACAAAGGGGCCATTCATGGCAGGGATGAGGGGTTTTTCCCCTGTTTGTCCTTGCTTCCAACTTTTATTGAACCCATCCTGAATTTTGTTTTAATCTGTAAGTAAGAGCAAAAACACAGAAGGGAAGTAAAAGGGCAAGAGGTTGATTGGCACATGGGGAGGTTTAGCAGGAGGTTCTGGAAGTCTGTGTCCATTGGGTTGCGGGGATCAGGTTCACTAGTGCAGCCAAGCGCTGACAGTGCTGGCCTGACAATAAACTCTGCTGGAGGATACCCTGTACCAGTAACGTAAGTCAGACCTGCCATGCTTCACTTCCCTCTGATTATTGAAAATGAAGAAGGAGGCTCCTTCAAGGGGGATGGGCTCTGTGATGAATTCCTCTGTCTTCCTGCTTGGAGGACTTAGAATCTGCACAACTGAACTTTTACTCTCACACAAGCACCTGCCCTTGCAGTTTGGCCATGTTACAGCAGTAGCCATACTCTTCCCTTACTGGCACACAGCTGGGAAAGACTTTTATCCCCCCAAAATGCTGCAGGAAACCCCAAGGGGTGTTTTGGCCATGAGCCATAAGTCTCAAGTCTTGCATCCCACCTACAGCCTGGCCACTCCTCAGTATATTTTGCTGGACCAGTTTGCTCTCTTTTTCAATCCCTGCATCTCTGCTTGTGGCACAACCACCAACCCCATGCTTGGAAAATGCCAGTGAGTGGCTCTGAATGTGTTTCCCTGGATAATCTTTCTTTTGTCAAAAAAATTTAATGTCAGCCATCCGTTATGTGATGTTAGTCAGTAAATTTATTATGGGTCTGTGCCTCTTATCTGTTTGTCTTCATTGTGTCTGCTGCTGGTTCCACCTGATTTTAGGTTTCAGTAGCAGCCTGCAGTATATTTATCACTTTGCCCTTTGAAGCAGAACTGCTTGAATAATCTCACCTATTTGGCAGTGTCTGTCAGGCCCTGCTTTCTGTAGACTGATACGCTGGTTTATTCTGATAAATGATTTTAAATCTAATTTGAGCTGCTGGAAGGAAGAGATCACTTTCTGTTTAAAAATGTTACTGCCAAAGGTGAAAACATTTGGTGACAAGGTGAGCAGCAGTTACAGGCATGGTGTAGTCTTCTGCAAGGCTTCGCAGGACCCCAGAAGTCCCAGACTGAAGATCTGGGGTGAAAAAAGGTTCCCTAATCTTCTGCTGACAGGAAAAATTGGCAGCAAATCTGATGTTTACTGGGGAGAGAATACCCTGTCAGATTGCTGTATGATATCTACACATTTCTTTCCATTTCAAGCAGTTGCTAATGCCATTCAGGTCCTTTAGACACAGCCAGGGTGTTGCTCAAGCTCCTCCATTGAGGAAACAGCACAGCTCCCCAGCTGCAGCACTGGGATTGCTTTCCATGGGAGACCAGGGAGAAATGAAGGGGCTTAAACCTTGGTCCTGTTTGCCTGAACCCTGCAGGATTAATCTTGGCATTCCATCACTTCTGATCTGGCTTTCACTGGCCTCCTGTGAAGCCATGACTGCCAGGATGCTTTGCATTGTTTACAGACACACCATCCAAATCAGAGTTATCTGCTGCCTGTGCTGTGGGTTGGCCAAGTATCCCACATTCCCAGGCAGACAAGGCTTATTGATAAGGTGGTTTTTTGTACCAGGATAAAGTAGGATCATCATGACTTATCTCACCCTTGTTCTCCTTCCTCCTCTCAGCCCCAGCAGAGTTTGTGCAGCATCCCCAGTCCATTTCCAGACCCGTGGGGACTACTGCCATCTTCACGTGCGTGGCCCAAGGGGAGCCCCCTCCCCAGATCACATGGCTGAGGAACGGGCAGATCCTGGAGACCAGTGACCACATCAAGCTGAAGAATAACAACAGGTAGGTGCTGGTGCACTGAGCTCTGGCACTGCTGTGGAAATGGGAGTGGGAGAGATGCTGGATTGCTTTCTGCATAACAAAGAGCTAGTGGGAAGGTGGCAGTGTTCTGAAGCTGATCTGTGGTTTCAGCTTGGGCTTTGATAAACTAAAACACTGCTCCAGTCCTGCTGGCTGCGCCTTATAGTCTTACAGTTCGGTGCTCCATGATTTTTTGTGCCAGGACATCAATATTAGATCTTGACTGTTGATGCAGGAACCCAGGAAAAGTTTCTCTTTTCTCCTGATCATCATCTGCAAGGCTAAATGTTGTTCCTGGAGCTGACAGGGACCACATTGACTCCTCAGTGGAGAACTGTGCTTTAATGCCTGGACATTGACCTGCCTGGGTGTGCAAATGTAAATACATTAGAAATAATATTTGTGTGGAGCCTGACTTTCACTAAACTTTAGCCTTTTATCTCACCAGGGAAGAGTGTGTTCTCTGAGTACTAAATAACTGCATTTTCCTGTGAGGGGATGGGGATGTTTGTATTGAGGAAATGATGCACTTAGTGTGAAAATTACCAGTTGACAATGTAGTTTCTATGGAAATAGCATGAAAAAATACACTACAAAATAATAGCACCTGTGTTGTAAACCTGATGTATTGGTAGAGGTTTGTACTCTGTGGTGTCATAGAGCTGCTCTCTATATTAACAAATGTGTCTCAGGAAAGCAACTACCCAGCCTCACTGGAGGGTCTGGACCTTCAGTTTAGACAGTTGGGGGAAATGCTGTGCAGGCACCATGACTTGTTCCTCAGGGGACAAGAGTTTATTTTTCTGAGTGTCTGTATAATGTGGCTTTTTGTTTTCTCATTTGAGGGGTTTTAAATCTTTGTTACATGAGTGATGGAAGGATGTGTGATGCGAGAAGGATAAAGTGTGAGTGGTAATAAAATCATCTCAGTCAGAGGAGGTTTTCTCCAAACTGGAAGTTTTTAGAGCTTCAGAATACTTTGTATGTGCACATACAGATGACACTCAGTTCAGGCATGTGGTATTCTAGTTCATGGCATGGCTTTCTGAGGCATGTCTTCCCTTTATTGTGTGAACAGAGCAGAAGGGGTAGGAGGGAGATTAGTGCATCCTTTTTTATTGGTGAAGAAGTGAAGTCAAAAGTGGTCAAGGTCATTAAATCCATGGCAAAACTGGCACTGAATCCAGCTCTGTGTCTCGCCCAGATGTCTCTGAAATCAGACATTGTGCCTGTGAAATCATTCCTCTTCACTTGAGGAGAGCAGGAGTCAGGTCTTTGGTCATGGTCATGTCTCCTGTGCCTGGAGCTGTACTACCCATGCACATGAACTGCAACTTGGTGAACATCTCTGTAATCACTTTCTTATGGGAATTATTTAATGCAATTTAGCATCAGTCTTTTCCAGAGCGAGCTGAATGATCAGATTACAGCATCTGGCACAGGCTGAGGGAGCTCAGCCCTTCCTGGGGCTCAGCTGACACGTGGCATCTTCTCAAGCTATAGTAACACAATTGTAAAGCTGAGCCCTCAGGCTGTGGTACTTGACAGTGCTGAACTTTTGTCTTCTTTCACACCAGTCTTGGTCGACTCCAACCTCCAGCTCCAGGCAAGTGGCCATGCCTGGTGGTTTCCAAAGCTGTCACTCTAGAAAATGCCCTCACTGGTGCAGCAGAGCTGGGAGCTCCATGGTGAGGGGACACATCAACAGATCATTTTTTCCTGAGCTTTTTCAAGTTTGCCCTTTGTTTTACTCTCATGGGCATGACTAAGTGCTGTAACCCACTTAGTTCCAGGCAGAATCAGTTTGTGGTTATGTCTTGGATTTATCAGTCTATTGCACTTGGAAAATATTTGTCTGTATAAGGATGGATCTCGAATCTACTAGTAATGAAGCTACTAAACTACACTATGAGCTTTTTAATTAGATTACATGGTTTCCTAAAAAATCCATTTGGATTAAAACTCTGCTTAATACTGTCATAGAGGTCTGAATGCCCCCTAAGGGGTTTTTAGGAAAAAAAAAGTAAATCATCCCAAAACATATCATGTGCTATTGATTGCCAAATGTGTCATTGGGAGCAATTTTTGTAAATTAACACGGCCAAAAGCAAGGTGCAGACCTGCAGAAGATGGTGTGTTTGAGATGCTGCTCTGCTCCTGCAAGCCTGAGGCCCTGTGGGCAGCAGCACAAACCCAAAGCCAATGGATCTGTTGCTTCCCAAAGTTGTGAAGGGCCCTTTTGCATCTGCCTCACCCCACACTGTCTCTCACATGCAGTAACTGCAAATCCAAGGAGAGCAAACCCAATGAGGTGAGGGGACTCCAGAAACCCTTCATTGCTGGAATACAGCTTCAGGACTGGATTGACTGGAGATTGGATGTGACTGCTGATACAATATCAGACATTCACTTGCTAAGCAACTTCCAGCTTTCAGCACAGTAAAATCAGCCTCACAGGCTGCATCCAATAAATATCTCATCCCTCGTGGTCCCTCAGATGTGAATTCCCATCACCTGATGTGTTGACGGTTTCTGGGCACATTAGCATTAAAGATCAGCCTTCTGTTGTGCCCTCTCCAGAGGTGGTTGTTATGTTTTGAAAATGCCAGCTGTGTGGGAACAAAATAGCCAATCGATGATTAGCAAAAAATCAAAAGCAGTTCTGGGATAGCGGATAATTGTTAATGAAAAATGCATGAAGGCTCAGGCATAGGGAATTGTGGGGTTTTCCATTAAAAGCTGTGAATAAAAATGACTGAAGGAGCTGATGATGGGGCTGCCTTGCCATGCAGCCCCTGGGCTGGGGATGGAGCTGACTGCTGTCAGGGTGGTGCTGTGCTGAGCCAAGCTCTCCCAGGGAGAAGCTGATGGAGCCTTTAGGCCTTTGGTGGAGCCATCTCTACATCCAGCATTGGCAGAGTCTGCCCCTCTATGCTGACAGAGATGCCCATGTTGCTCCTGGAGTGATTCTGATCAATCATGATCCAAATGCCTGAGAGGTATAAGGGGAATTTCTAGCACCCAGCATCACCAGTCCAGAAGTGGAGTACTGCTGCAGGAGGAAGGTGTGGTTACTGACCAAGTTGGGCTTGTGTAAAATTATGCTTCTAGGTTATTACTTAAAAATTTACAAAGAAGCATGAAATAGTCCCCAAATTACCACTGTGAAAGGTTTATTGCTATTCTTCCTTTGACACAATCAGGTTCAGGGCAGAAATTTTCAGCCTGGAAGTGTATCACACTATGGGGTTTATATTGCCAGAATAGCAAGGAACAAAGGCCAACATCTTCAGAGAAGGCAGGTTCTCTAAATATTGATTTTCCAGAAAGATTATATTTACAAATTGTAATTAAGGGACTTCATTTGTTCCACCAGAAAAAGGCTTTGTTAGAATTTGGGCTCAGGTGGCATTCGCTCTGCTTGGTGACCTTTGTAAATTCTTCCTGCACTTGGTTTAGTGCTCTGGAAATGTCTCACTTCCAGGGCCATTCATGTTCAAGGCTCATCAGGGGAAATATTCCTTTGTAAATAAAGATCAGAACAACTTTTCTCTTCCTGCACTTCTTATGCTGTTAAATCCCAGTCCAGAAACAGAGAGGGGCCTTCAAGTACAAACATCCCAGCCAGCCCTTCTGGTACCAAACCCAGGGAAGCCAGAGCCTGTCATTCACAAGGTGGCTTTTTTCTGTAAACCCTGCATTAGCTGAGTGTGGAAAAGTGCAGATGGGTTTATACATCCCTTCATGGTGCACACTCCCCACAGACACTTCAATTTGTATGGTTTTGGACCACATAAAGGAGGACAGGCAAGCCTGCAGTTCCTTATGCCATGTGTTTGAAGACAGTTGTGATTGAGGGAAGGGTGCTCTATTGCAAATCATATTTCAGTTCCCAGAAGCATGACAAATAAGTACGTGGGGGATGGGGATGTGAACCCGCTGCTCCTGATTTAAGCATAATTTATGGGTTTGACTTTGGAAGACACATGGAAATGGCCTTTGCAAGGAGGATCTCTGCACGGGTGCACAAAGCCCTCTAAGCAGTGGGGAATCAGCATGATCCCTGCATCAAGCAGGGATCCTGTGCTGGGATCACACAGCCATATCCCACAAAAAGGACCTGCAGCAGCCCTGGATCAGCCAACAGCAACAAGCATCAGTCTCTCCTTTTCATGTGGCTGCAATTATTTTGCTACCAAGTTGTCTGTGTAATTTCTCTGTGTGCTGCTCCACTGAGCTGCTCTTGAAGTGCATTAAGTGAGGAGTTTTAAGTGTTCTTTCCAACTGTTGCACACAGCAAAATCCATCAGCAGAGAATGGTCCTTACACAGGAGGCTTTGAGGCAGGACTGAGCCCATGGTGGTGTAGACTAAAATTAGTCTCCCTAAATTAGGCTGGGTCTTTTTCTTCTCCAGTATGTGCTGCTTGCTTGAGAAAAGGTTTGAGGGACTTTCCATTTAGCAGCAGAGAGCTCTCCCAGCTGTCTGCATTTGCAGTCCTACCAATACAGGTTCTGCCCTCCCTCCCAGTACTCTTCCTGAGATGTTTTGTGCTTCCCCATGGTCCTCTGCTTCCTGGGACAGGATTCAGTTAAGTCTGTGATTGTGCTCTGTGGCTTATAAAAACAGACTGAGTGTCTAGTACCAGCAACATCCTTTCAGCTCTTGGATGAGTCTGAAATCATAAGATTGGGCTGGGGTCCTGGCCAGTGGGCTGCAGTACCTGCAAAATAGAAACCAGTCCTTCTGCATCACCCAACCCAATTTCACCCAGGACACTCTGTATGATATTTAATTTCTGGATGTGTAAGAATATGCATATAGAGGGCTGGGAATGATATGCAGTGTCCCTCTTGGTTGCTGAGTGTCACTTTTCAATTTTGCATCTTAATTTCAGCCTGTATGAGGCAACCTTCAGAATACAGGGCATTTCTGCAAAGCTGGGGAACAAAGGCTCCTTCCTAGCACAGCACAGGCCAGCAGCCCAGGAACAGATCATTCAGTGCAGCACAGCACAACACAGGCCACGACAAACAGAGGCAGAGCAGGGATGGGGCATCTGAATGTGGCACTGGTGGCTTTCTGTATCTGCTGGCACTCAGAATGCCGTCCCTGCTAGCCACAGCCTGCTCTCTGCATTCATTTCATCACACTCCCTCCTTTGTGCGCCTGTGCGCGCGCAGGCTGATGCCCTCCCAGATGGGCCCCTCTTCTTTGTGCTGCTGAATCGATGAAGAGGCTTCCTTCAGTTTGCAGACTTTTTCAGAGGAGCCTTTGGAAAGCCGATCTCCGGTCACCGGCCTGGACCCCTGACCCGAGCCAGATCAGTCATCCTGATTGCCTATGAACTGGGAAGACAGCTTGGGAATACTGCGGCTTTGGAGCAGCCGAGGCCTCTCGTTTCAGCTCAGCCGGGTGTGAATCTGCAGCGGCTCCTCTCCCCACTTCCATCAATGCCTGTCAGGGCATTGTGTGGAGATGTGAAGGAGCCCTCGGCTCGCCGAGCGGCTCTGGTGACCAGCAGAAAGCCTTCTGGCATCTCGCCTCGTCTGACGTGCTTGCGGCGCTGCCAGTCTGGCACTCGCGGGAAAGTTTTCCAGCAGCAGATGTCCCAAAGTGACAGATTTTTTTCATGTTGATGGGAAGAAATAAAAGGACACTGCATATTTCAGATGGTTGATGCACAGAGATGCTCTGTGCCTTCTCACACGGCAACTACCGATTTTCCTTTTGTTTGAGCTTTCTTTAAAAAAAAAAAAAGACAAAAACCAGCATAACCTGGGACTGAACACTGGCCCTGCTGCAGCACATCCTCCACATGCTGGGAGGTGATTCTCACGGAGCTGGTGTTTAGATGCTGGGCATTCTGTTCACCAGCTTCTCCATGCTCTCATAGCCAAAAATCCAGCTGTTCTAGTGTCCCATTGCCTTTATATCATTCTAGGTAACATTGGCTCCAGGTAACGGATGGCCAAGGCTCTTACTGCACAGCACATCCAAACACAGCCAAGGAAATCTCAATGAAAATGAACTTTCTGAAGCTTGAAGCAACTTTACAGCTATGTTCCATGTCAACTTTGTAGAAAATACTCTATTTCTTTTGACTGGGTGACAGAGACTCCACTCAGCTCCAGTGGCCAAGTGCCATCCTTCCAGGACCACTGGCATCCTGCACATCATCTGTGTTCCACATGAGGAGCTTTGCTCACTCCCAGATCCTCCCAGGAGAGAGAAGTCTTTGGCTCCAGAATCACAGCACTGCCATCAGGCTCCTTGCACTGTTTTTTCAGCCTAGCTCCCCTCCTCTTTCCTCCACATCTTTTCTTTAAGCAAAGCAAGTAAATGCACCTGGAGGTGGCGGAGCCTAAATACTCCTTGCTCCAGATCTGCTTTGTGTTTGGGAAGCTTAAGGCTGCTCTTGACCCATGTGCCAGCCCAGCCTGGCTGCTCTGGGTGCCCAGATGCACAGCAGCCACATGGAAATAATCCCTGCATTGACGGGACAGAAGGAAGTGCTGCTGCTCCTTCCACACATCTGCTTTGTGCAGGGCTGGGAGTGCAGCTCTCAGATGGCGTAATCCTGCCTTCTGCCATCTGTCCTCGCAGGAGTCAGCCCTTGTTGACACAGCTGAGCCACACATTGGGTCCTTCCTCCCCACGCCCTCTCCCAGCTCTGCCTTTCTCCTTCCATTTAATCAGATACATTGAGCCCGTGGCTATGAGAGGAGCTTAGGGCTGATTCTTGAAAATCACCATATCAGCTGAAACCATCACATTTGATATTCCATTTACAATGTTTCCAAGGAAACAAAGGCACAGGACATAAATAGATGACTGTTAAACATTTGCTCACTCACCATGGCCCCCGATAATTTGCAAGGCAGAAATAGGAATGTTAAATCAACAGCAATAATAAATTTTAATACAGGAAGGCCAATATTTTGCTGCAATTAGAAGAAGCATTTGTTCTGACACACAGGCAGGCAGTGGCAGGTTATTTATCATTTCTACTTCCAATGTTCAATTTTTCATTTACATAAAAGGCAGCTTTGATTGTGATTCCCAAAAAGCCTTGAAGTGCCCCCTGCATCAGCAGGGATGCTTGGGATTTACTCATGTGCAGTCAAGTTCCAGATCCACCTAAAATTTACTGCAGGAGAAGAAAGTAAGTGATTTCTCACTAGAAGCAAGGAGGGGGTGTGAATTTAGTTAGGTTTGCATCATTTGTTACAGAAAAGTAAAGAGCTCTGTGAGCTTCTGAAGTTTTCCCAAGGATGTCCAGTGTGTGAGAACACCCTCCCAGGACCAAAGGCATTGTAGGCAGATTTTACCATAACCTGAGCTGCTGCCTCAGAGTTGGGTAAAAAACATCTTCAGTGTCAAATCTGCCTTTCCAGCTCCAGCTCAGAGCTGTACCCAGTGGTGACAGTGACCACCTTAGAAGTCATTGCCTGAGAAGGGAAATACACTTAGTATTTATGAATTAATTTATTTATTTAGGAGGCCTTGTGTCTGATGGATTCACATTGAATCATGTTGTTCCTGGCTTGACTTTGAGTGGAGTTTCATTGATGGGTCCCTGTTTGTAAGCAGATGTTGTTAAGAAAAGCTGTTTTGCACATTCAAATAGCAAGACAGAGCTAATGTGGCACACAATTATTTCTGAGTCAGTATTCGCTGGTGTTGTTTTACAGATATTGGGTGGTGTAGCCTTTGAGCTAGCCCTGAACTTGCTCCAGTTGTCCACAGCCATTGCTGGAGGGGCCTCTCCAGTTCATGTGGCCACACGTACTCAGGTTATCCCAGCGCAGAGATGGGCACCATGCTCAGGAATATGTTCATTTGGGAGGCTGGTACATGGCTGGATTTCTCCTGCTTTAGGGGATGTTTTCCAGGGTAGCCAGTGCCTGTCCTTTCTAGGATGCACATAAAACAGCATCTAAACCTGATACGGAAGCCCCCAAGAGCAGGCTGAGAGAACTGTTCTGGTTGTTTCCTTGGAGGGCAGCAAGCTTCGATGCACTAGCATCAAAACTCCACTCAGATGTTCTGCAGACAAGACCTGTGACTTGCTCATAAGCTTTGGCTTTTGGCTCATGGTGATGATGTTTCTGGAAGTGCAGAAGTGGGAGCTGAGACTATAACCCTGCTGGATAAATCAGCTAATCCCAGTGTTACCCTAAGACAGCTTTAATGTGCTGTAATGCAATTAGAGCATCACCAGAGGGCTTTCTGGCTGTGTTTGATTAGACTTGGCTTAGTAACCATGTGCAGTGCCTGGATGGGTCTCACTGGTATGTACTGGAGCTAAGCCAGTTAAAGCTGTTTTGGGTGTGTGGATGCACTTCGACAGAGCTGGCTCTGTGGTGTGGCTGGGATCTTCTGAATCCACACCTTTAGATCCTGCTGGTCCCTGTCCCACCTTGTGTCCACATCTGGCTATACTTGAACCACAGAATCTGCAGGTTGAGATGGATAAATCAACCCAGTCACGGGTTCCAGGGAATGACACATCCACCTCCTGGACTTTTCCTTCTCCAAAAGCCCACAGCTTCCTGAATAGCTTTCTGTGGAAACAGAGGCTGTGGGATGCCCTGCCATGGGAGCCAGCACAGGGACCATGGCAGTCAGTGTGATGCTTGTCCCTCTCATGTCCCCACACAGCACTCTCTCCATCTATGGGATCAACCAGGCGGATGAAGCCATCTATCAGTGCCTGGCCGAGAACAGTGCGGGCTCCACGCAGGCCAGCGCCCGCCTCACCGTGCTGTGGGCTGATGGGCTGCCCAGCCCTCCTCAGGGCGTGAGGGCAGAGACTGTCTCTGCAACCACCATCCAGGTGTCCTGGGAAAAGCCCCTGCAGAACACCAAGGAGATCATTGGCTACGTGCTGCACATCCGGAAAGCTGCAGGTATGGTGCTACACCCACTGCCCAGAGCACCCTCAGCCTTCCTGTAATTTAGCAACATGGCCCACTAGGTAAAACCAGGTCTGCACTGTAGTGGTCCATGCTGCCATCAGTGTTTTCTGTTACCTCCCAGTTTCTGAAGGGCAGAGATGAGGCTTTAAATACATTGTAAATACCTGCAAATACTAAATACACCATTAAAGGTGTATTTAGGGTGGGGTGGATGAAGCCACATAGTCAAATCTTGCTGCCCGTGTAGCTCTCTGGCAAAGCATGCAGAAATCACAGAATCATAGGTTGGGGTTGGAAGAGGCCTTAAGAATCATCCAGTTCCAACCCCTGCCACAGGCAGGAACATCTTCCACTAGACCAGGTTGCTCAGAGCCCTGTCCCTACATTACCAATTTCAACGGCCTTGAAATGTAAGCAGAAATGTGTGTGAGCAGGCACATATCCACCCCAGGGACCAAAATTACTGCTTGCGACATCTATTTATTCTCTTTACCTCTTGCAAAGAAGAATTGCTCAGTTCTCTGTCCCTTTGCATTTCAGATCCCGTAGAGATGGAGTACCAGGAGGCTGTTAGCAAGAGCACCTTCCAGCAGCTGGTGACTGATCTGGAGCCCTCAACCAGCTACAGCTTTTATATAAAGGCTTACACCTCCCGGGGTGCCAGCAAGGCCTCAGAAGTCACGGTGGTGAGCACGCTGGGGGAAGGTAAGGAACACTTTGCACAGGGACCCTCAGATGCTGACGCCCGCTGTGCGTAGCAGCCGCGCCGCTCACCCCGACACCGCCCCGCAGTGCTGCAGCACTGTAGCCTGTGGTGCTGCTGCTCCTTGTTCCTGCTGCTCCTCCTGCTCTGGGATATTGTGTAAAAAAACTCACTTGTATCGTTGCAGGGGGGTTGACTGATTAAACACAGCATCGCCTCTCCCAGCTGATGTTGTAGCAGGGGGTGAGTGCAAACTTGCCTGGCCTCGTGCATTGCAGCTGCTCTGGGCTGTTCCTAAACTCCTTGCTAAATGCAGACTTCCTGCTCAAGCAGCATCTCATCATCTTCCAGCAGCTCTGGTACTCACAGCTCTTACTTGATAAGTGCCTGACTTTTAAAGATTTTATTATTTTCTGCTCTATCCAGGACAAATCACACTGGAGCTGAGCTGTCCTGACCTACAAATCCCTGCCCTGGAGCAGCTTTCTGTTTTAGTGGGAAGTTAGGGTGATCTCTAAGGCTTTTTTTCCCTACTTGGCCACCAGTTAGCTTCCCCAGTAAGACAGTGGGTGTTTTAATACAGGACCCTTGCACACAAGTACCAGGTAGAAACCACAGCCCCACTGATATGTCAGTGAGAACTGGAAGAATGTTTTCCTAGAGACTCATCTATTTCTGAAACCTTGGTTGTCTCAGATATGGAGACTAATTTCTTAGGAATCATTCTCATGAACTTTCAGTAATTATGAATTTCCAGCTGAGAGGGCCTTGGGTGTGAGGATGTTATTTAGAATCAAATGGAAGTGTGCTGACTTCCAGGTGGGGGATCCAGTTCTCATTCTGTTCTCAGCCCTTGCAGATATTTATTACAGAATTTAAGCAAAAACACCAGTAAATCCTCGCCTGCTGGGTTGTTGCTCTGCAAGTTTATTTTCCTTGGTACCCTGCAGGGAATCAGTCACCCTTGGAGTTTGTTTTTTCTTCCAATTTAGAGGCAGAAGGATGGGCTAAGGCAAAGCTTGAAACTCCTTGACCCGATGCTCTGAGTTCAGCCCCAGGAGCTACAAGCCAGCCATGCTTTATAGAGCTTGGTGACTCTGCAGAAGTCCAGGTCAAGTGAGAGAGGACTTTTTGTCATTATTACCTTCAATGATGACAGGAATAGTTTGGGATCTGGTAATGGGATCATAAATTTCCTGGCTCTCTGAAGTTTTAAGGTATCTCTGTCCTGCTAGCTTTTAAAAAAAGCTTGTCCTGGGTAATGAAGCTTCAGGAATTAGCTCCCTGTCCTGGATGGACAAGCTGGCATGGTTCAGATCACTCAACCCCAGCCTGTGTTTGCCTTGTAGGAAGGTAAAAAGATATTTAAAAGCCTCAGTTCTGGCTTCATTTGTTTGCTTTGCTTCACTCGGGTGCCTGTTGCCTTCTGCTCATAGAGGAGAGAGCAGCTCAGAGAGCTGGGCCCAGTGGCTTTTGTCACCAAATTCGGGTTTCACTGCAGATCTGCCTCTTCTCATGGCCAAGCCGTTTCACCCTGTGCCCTCCCAACATGCACAGGAGAGCTGCATCCCCCCTGAGCTCGGGGAGCCCCTGGATCTATGCTAACAACCTCAGAAAAGGATGGATATTCCAAGGTGCCATATCCAGCAGCCAGGGACAGCTCAGTGGAACCAGGGCAGCAGAGATGCTGCCAGCTGGTTGGAGTGACCATGTTATGTTGGTATTGTTTGGAGCAGGAATATGAAATACTCCTCAGAAAACAGAGGAGCAGGCTTGCTTTTGGCTCGGGGCCATCAGCTTCTCAGGGCTGGCAATACGCGTGGCAATACGTGCACTTGGCTGAAGCCTTTGATGCTTTCTAGAGACACAGTGCTCCTTCCTTTGTGCTGATTTTGGATGGAAAGTAGAAGGGAAGACTCTGTAGAGAAGGGACTTGAGTGAACCTTGTCCTCCTCAATAAACCTCATTCTCTGGGAAGGCCCTCCTGCCTCCTCCCTGTCATTCTCCTTTACGCCATTTCACAAATGCCATGGTATTTTAAATCTCAAACGCTCTCTGCTTCATTAAGCAGCACACACTCCTTGTTCTTGTCTTTTAATGCTTTTTAGGGTTTTCTCCAGGACTTTTTGACATTTCTCTAGGATGAAGACTGTTCCTTTAGTCATCTTCGGCTAAAGACGCCTTCAAGAAGAAAGTTCAAATGACCTGGGGAAAATTCCAAACAGCACAGAAGAGGAAAACAAGTATCCCAGCCCTTAGCATGAGGGAGATGCCTCACTTATATTAGCTCCATATTATGTCTAATATATACTTCTGTGAAACACCTATCTGCTGGTGTGTGTATATATATATTTACACACAGACAGATATATTCCATTGTATACACTTATTTGTGTAATCACATTATAAACAGCACATGCATTCTGCAAGTGCATATACCTATAATCGGTACTATACATATATATATATATATATACTCAAAGTTTGAATAAATACCGTATATTCCATATTTTGAAGGAGAGATATTCTTGTGGTTTTTATTAAATGTAAGGCTCTGCAACCATAAAATAAAGCCAACTCTTCACAATCAGGATGGCCCACATCAGTGTTTCTTTGTCATGGGATAATGTGGTAATTTCCCTCTCTGTGGTGTTTTCACCTGTGGCTGGAAAAGTGATGCTTTAAGCAAGGGTCAAACTTCTCAGAGTGGGGATTTTGCCCTGGAGGGAATTGGAAGAAAAAAGGAGTATTTAATTGGATTGCAAAAATACACAGCCTTGTATTTTTGGGAAGAATGGCACATTCTGATATAAATAGAATTTACTCTGTGTTTTGCACCCAGGAAATGTTAAGTTCAGCCTTCCCAGCGATGAAGTCCACAACAGAATAAATCCTATCAAAGAGGAATACTTCAGCCCGTTTTTTTTCTTGGGCAGGATGAGAACTCATTAATGTGACCCAGAACACTGGGTCTTTCCTCCTGAATCCACGTGGAGACATGTGGCAGTCAGCAGGGACTTGTCCGTCTCCATGGGCTTATTCAGAGGACATCAAGCAAAGCCCATGCAGCCTGAAGGAGGGCATCACTTTGGGAAGAGACAGAATTGCCCAGACCCTCCTGCTCAGCTGGGGAGGCATCCATCCTCCCTTCCTCTAAATGTCCTTGTGGGAAAGCTTGAGCTCTCAGTACCCAGGAAAAGGCAAATGGTTGTGCTGTGCAGTTTTACTGTTAAATTGAGGAAATGCCCTTTTTAGCTCTCATCAGTCTTAGACTGACATGGCCACGTTTCATCTGCTTTTCCCCATCACTCACTAATGGTTGTGCTGAACTCTCTGCCAAAGGCCAGGTTTGCACTGCTCATCCTTAGAGACCCTTTGGGGAGAAACAAGCCAGAAAGCAGCTTTGGTCCAGTGCAAGCCCAGCAAGCCTTATATGTGGGAACTGCTGAGCTTGTAATCATGTGGGATTGGAAAAATAGCTCTCTCTTAAAGCCTGGAGGCTGCTGGAGAAGTAGAGCTGTTCTGCTGGGTGATCTTGCTGTGGGGTGAGCTGAACTTGGTGCCTGGTGCCCAAAAACTCTTCTTCCTCCTGGTACTGGTACTGGAGCAGAGCCCTGGGCAGGGTAAGAGTCTGCAACGCCTCATGATTTGCACCTTCTGGATGGTGCCAAAGGTTGGGGAACTGATGGAAGAGTTTAGCCTGGGGGTGTTTTGTGGAAATGAGAAAAAAATCATCAGTGAAATGTCCTGCTGAGATAGATCTGGTATTGGTGTGGTCAGTGTAGGAGAAAGGGAGGGAGGCAGAAACATGGGCTGTGTGCCCCAGTGCTTTCCAGGGCATGAGGCTGGGCTTGGGGCAGTCAGCTTTGGAAAACCCAGGTATCACCAAAAAAATTGGCTTTAACTTGCAGGTCTTTGCCTCTCAAGCCAGACCACTGGGGCAGGATGGAGCCAGGCAGCTTTTTGGGGACCTGGAGAGGGAATGGTCTGACCCCCTCTGCAGCACACCCCCAGAATAAGGGCAGGGTTTTGGGGCATTGACTGGAGCATGTTCCTGATGGACTTTGAGTCAGCAGCAGGGACATCTCCCCAGCTAATCCCCTGTGTACCCCTCAGGCCAGGTAAGTGCCTGCCTCCCAGAACATGCCAGCCAGGGCTGTGCAGAGATCTTGGGCTGTTCAGCTGTTTAGGGCTGTCGATGAAGATGCTCTGGTTCTCTCCTGAGTCCCCAGCACAGTCACAAACCTCCCTCCTAAAGCTGATGAGGAGAGCAAGCCCCCTGCAAGCTAGTACTGGTACCTAGCACACTTCTAAGATGGATGTCTCCAGCTCCATCCCTTCTGGTTCCTTCCTCCCAGGGGGATTAATCACACTGAAAGGTCTGTGCCTCAGGGTGAGGGCAAAGAATTGGAATTTGAGAACACATTGCCAAAGTTGCTGCATTCCTACCCTGACCCGGCCAGACTGAGCATCATATTGCAGCCGAAAGTAGCTTCGGCTTGCTGATCTGAGCAGAGGGAACCCTTGCAAACTCCTGCAGCTTCCTGAAGAAGTTCAAAGCTGTTAAACCAGATTCTGGTCTGCTCAGATTTTTCTCAATCTCATCTGGCACATTCCTTGGTGCAGTGACCGCAGGGAAGGGCTGCTGGGGCATTTCTCATCATGCAGACTGCAAAAGCACATGCAACACACTGTCTTTCTCTCTCTGTTTCAGTCCCAGCCATGCCATCCCTCTTTATTAAAGTCATTAATAGCACCACCGTGCAGGCAACGTGGGAACCTTCCATCAAACTGGGCCAGCACGAAGGCTTCAAGCTGTATTACCGCAAAGTCCACCTCTCCCAGTACACAGGTCCAGTGCTCCTGGCCAGCAACGTCACAGCCTACAACATTACCCACCTGGGTGAGTATGGTGACACCTTGATCCATGTCCCCTCACCCCCAGTTGTGATTAGCAGGAGAGAGCTCCAATGTGTAGCCCAACCCCTAAATGCTGCAGCTCTCACCCAGGTTTTGTGGGTGCATTCCCAGCAACAGGTACTTGTTTGCAGTACCTTGTGTATATTTGGTAAGATGTTCTTTTCCCAAATAAGCACCACTGGGGAGATGAGGCTCATAGTTACACCTGAACTGTCCCTCTTGTGTCCCCTGGGGCAGACGCGTCGGTGGTGTACGAAGTCAAGCTCCTCGCCTACAACCAGCACGGGGATGGAAACTCCACTGTCCGCTTCGTGTCCCTGAGGGAAACTGTGGAGAGGACAGGTGAGATGGCACCTGGGTCTTGGTGCTGACATGGGAAACAGCTCTGCAGGAAGGTGGTGAAGCCAAATGCATCCTGTGTGCCCCATTACTCTCATCTCATCTTCAGCCACTCATTTATTTTCAGCATCACAAATAATGCTGAGGCAAGACTCTGCAGGGCTGGGAGCACCTGGATGGCTTTTTTACCAATGGGGAGAAGACAAACCAAATGTTTTGCACATGCCAGGTTTGTCCCCTAAGCTTGAGACAGAAGTGAGGCTATGAACATGAACAACCCCCATGCATAAGGTACCAGCTGCCATCCTCAGGTGAGACACAGTGCACTGAGCATCTCTGCTCTCCTGGAGCTCTCCTGGATATTTTGACCTTCACTGGTGAAAAGGGAGGATGTGTGGCTTTGGAAAGGGAAATGGCTGCAGAGCGTGAGCCCTGTATTAAGTGGCAGCAAAGGAGAAACCTCTAGAGGGAATCTCTTAACTGATCACACCTTTCATATTCATCTATGTGTAAAAAACATCCTGCTGCTCTTGGAAGCCTTTTAAGCCTCCAGTGGGAATACCTTCAAGAGATAGTTATTACTCTTCTGTCTGTGCTGGAGTAAATACTAATCTCACTGGCATCTGTCTACTCCATCAGGTTTCAGCCTGCTCTGATGTGGTGGCTGCCTCTTACCTCCCACTTCAGCATGGGGTATTGCAAAAATTAACATCAGAGGGGTTTTTTTTTTCATTAATTGTATCTAATGACAGTAGCCAGGTAATAGGGCTGGCACACTACAGATATTCCAGTCCTGTGCTTGCTGGAGTGCTCGGAGCAAAGGAGGTGCATATGCAGGCAGTGAACCCCTGTGTCCCATGTGGTTCTCTTCTTCCCATACACAGCTCCCAGCACTGCCCAAGGCTCTGACTTTGGCTCTGGGCTCCCCAAAAGCTGGAGGAGCAATAGAAGAGTGGCACCACTGACCTCTCCTCCTTTCCCTGGCAGTGCTGAATCCTCCCTGTGACTGCATGAAGGACGAGCAGAACAATAAAACCTCCACGACTGGCATCATCATCGGGATCCACATTGGTGTCACGTGCATCATATTCTGCATCCTGTTCCTTATGTTTGGGTACCGAGGAAGGTAAGGATGCTAATGCCACTGCTCACAAGGGGTCATGGTCCCTCGTACTGTGGATGTGCCCACCTGAGTCTCACATCCCCAGTGCAATGTTCGACTTTATAGGATGGATTAAAGGATGAAGCAATGTAGCACAGGGATAAGGCAGATGGTAGCTTGGGGGAAGGAGGATGAACCACCTCTCTCACTCTCAGGCTTCATCTCTTTATTTTTTAGACTACTGATGTGCAAAAATGTGCAGGAGCAGCTGTCAACCCCTCAGATTCCCCGGAGCCAGCGGAGTGCCACAGGCCTTGTCCTGAACGGGGCCACTCGCAGGGACAGGGACGACCGGGACTTGAATGGAAAGCAGCTGGATATGAATGAGCTGGAGAGGTTATTCCCAACATCCCCATCCCAGGAGCAGCAGGAGAAGGGAATAATGGTAAGTCCAGCAGAATGGGAGAACATCTGGCTGTGCATGGGGAGCTGTCACTGTCACTGCATTGTCCCATTCTCTCTCTCCAGTCGGCTCACAGCCTGTCAGCCCCCCACGATGAAACCCAGATCTCCACACTCCCTCTGGATGAGTTCAGCATCATTGAGGAGCAGCCAGACCCACTCCCAGAATACCCCCATGGCAGCAGTCCTGCTGCTCTGGCTCCTGACCACGGTCCTGCCAATGAAGGATAAAACTGCCAAGACTCGAAGCCTCTTGTAGGAGTTACCAGAAACCAAACCTGCAGCTGGTGATGTCTTTACGAGTTGTCAATCTCAGGTCAATTGAAGATTTCTATGGTCTGATTGTTATTTTTTTGTTTTGCTTTATTTTTATATATATATATAAATATATATATATATATGTATGTATACAGCCTTTTGGAAACTCTGTGAAGTTTATCTTTCTGACCTCTCTCGAGCCTCTCAATGTTGTTTCTTCTGATGACGGCTCTCTGGAGACTGGTCACGATGGATTTTCCCCACAGCTGCTATGTAACAGACTCCTTGGCAGAGTTTGGCAAACTCTCCAGTCTCTGACAGACTGGGGATATGGTGGAGCTCCCATCTCTTGGCATCCCAGACTTTTTCCTGATCAGCAGCTTTAGGACTACTTTTTGGATTTATTTTTATTTCCAGAAGACTGGATTTGGAAAAATCCTTCTAACTTGACTCCAAAAATCGAGGCCCAGGAAGGCTGTCTCTCCGTGGATTTGATGATTTTGTACACTTTCGCTATTTCTCAGGATACTTTTTTTGCTGATTGACTCTAAATAATATGAAAAAAAAAAGAGAAAAAAAAAAGTGTGTGTGTGTCAAAGGATGCCTGAGGGCTACTGAAAGACTTGGACAGACAACCCGAGTGAACTCAGAACCTACCTCAACCGGAATGAATGTCTTCTGGGAAGCAGAAATACCTGCGTCTTCCTTCACGTTCAAACAAACAAGTAGCATAGCACTTGGTCAGTACAAGCATGGTCCTACCTCAGCAGTCACGCTCTGTACCTGCCACCTCGGGTGTGTGTGTGTGTGTGTGTGTGTGTGTGTGTGAGTGAGTGTGTGTGTGTCCTCTCTCTCCCCCAGTTCCTGCCTCTCCCACCCAGCCCCACATGAAGCACGGTGCTTCACTGGTGTTATGAGCTTTACTTTTGGGGGCTCCGGTGTGATTTTGTGTGGCGGAGATTCGTGTTGTGGTTTTTTACTTTAAATTGTTGGGGCTGTCACAGACAAGCAGTGCCCTGTGGCTCCCTGGCACCACTGCCTTTCCAGGGCTGATTTGGGCACTGGTCCATCCTGGTTTTGAAGGGTTGGGGTGCTCAGATGCCAATGCTCAGGCCAGTGCACCCTTCTGCCCTGGCCGATTTCCAGCAGGATGATCTATGGCGTGTTCTGGCACGAGCAGCAAAACACCCTTGGGAGGTGGGAACCTGGACATCACTGTCTTGTCCCAAATCCCACCCTGCTATCAGGAGCACCCATGGGGAAACCCCAATAGAGCACTTCCAGAGCCCCTTGAGACACTACTGAGCTGCCCCCAGCTCCTCCAGAGCCTTTCCAGCCACAGGAGAACATCCAAAGGATGAGTGGAGCCAAAGAAGGCTCAGTTCCCTGGGAGGGACAAGGCAAGGAGGATGCTGGGGGCTGCCAGAACTGCCCCTTCCCTGTGCCCAGGGTGGGCAGAGGAGCTGCTGACACCAAAGAGAGGGTTTGCCCCCTCCAGAGATCAACCACCAACCTGACACTGTGGAGGTTGGGTTGTCCTGGCGTGGTGCAGCCTTGTGAGTCAGTGTGTGACTGGCATTGTCCGTGGGTGAGATGGGGGCACACACGGGGGACAGGGACACCAGGTGCCAGCTGGTGCCAGTGGGCAGCCCTTTCCCTGCTGTGTGAGGTGGTTAAATCCAGGCAAATGTGAAGGTTTGACCTCTTTGTGTACGTGGTTGTAAATCAAATGTTGCTGTATTTGCAAGGACAGTGAAAGGAATCAGGAAAGGAAATGAGTTTAAAAAAAGTATTAATTGTATTTTTTTAAATGGTACCAGTGGGAGAGTCCCTTGTGTCAAAAACACCCCCATCACCTGTCCAGCTGGCAATGGGATGCAACCAATGGCTGTGTAAATAGTACAATATACAGGAGGCTGAGCAAATGCTTCTTCCCTGAGCTGAGTTCTGGTGTTGGGCAGGGTTACCTGGGAGCAGGACTCTGTCCTTCCATGTCACCTCATTCAACTTGGCCCAAGCAGATGCAGTGGCACCAACCTCAAGAGCAAGAAGCTGTAGAGACTCAGTGTTCCTAGCCCTCTTCCATTAAAATTCCTCCTCCTATAGACATGATGCAGAACAGAAAAGATGCAAAGAGTTAAATTTTGGCATTAACACCCCCAAACAGCCTTTCCCCACCCCACCAAAGAGGCTAAGTGGGTTGTCAGACGATCCCTGCTCACACCTGTGATCCTGGACCTGGAGACAGCCTGGGAAGGGACTGTGTGGGGACACCACTGTGTGAGACCAATAGCACAGCCCACCCCATCGCAGGAGCCAGAGGATGCTGGGGTTAGGGGAAGGCAGGAGGGAGGAGAAGACACCAAACAGCTCAAGTTATAACCTCATATCAAAGACAACATGATCCTCTCCTGCCATCCCCCTCCCACTCCAGCCTAGTTTTTATTTTTATTGTTTTTTGTGTGTGTAACGCCGCCGTTCACATTGAATAAGTACCGTTGCCAAAGTGAACACAGAACCTAGAGTAGTGTTCAGCTCAGACTTCTTGGAGCTGTGAACATGCTATTAATTTAATATCATATTATTGTGATATTGTAATAGTAACAAGTATTTGTCACTACTTCCTTTTATTAAAGGGAAATGCTGTGCCATTTGACTAGTTGAAATACAATAGTATGTCCGAGTAGAGTTTTTTCTTTTGTTGTTTTTTAATTATGCAGGATCATGGTGGCTTAAACCAATGCAGATTCTGTGTTGGTTTGAGATGGTTGAAGATGGATGTAAATCTTTAAAGACTATTTTTTAGATGTTTAGCTTTTCCTGTTTTTTTGGTGTTTCTTTTCCGCTCTTGTTAATTCATACCATTGGGACCTAACACAGATGGTTGTGGCAGCTCAGTCCCTGAAGGGATGAGGCTGAAGTCTGGAGATCCACGAGGATCCATGGTCTTCCCTAAATTATCTAAGTCCACCAAACTGGTCAAAAAACCCCACTCTGTTGCAGGAAAAGCAACACATAACAGCAGCACTCGCTGTACTGCAGTGCTTGAACTGGGCTGGAAGCAAAGCTGTCCCAACCCAAAACTTGGGAAAACATCACCTAGCGTATATCTGGCCCTTAATCTGTGAAATGAGAAGGAAAAAAGAATATAAAAAGAGCTTGTGTTTGGTTTCAGCCTGTGGGACAGTCTGTACATTCATCCAAACTGCTGCCCTGGTTTTGAAATAAACCGATGGAATTTTATTCTGTGTTTGGGGCACAATTGTACTCAAGCAGACAAGTTGTCCTTGGATGACACGTTGTATTTGGGTGGATATGGGACAGCAGGTCTCCATGTGTTGCAGATGTGGGCTGTGTCACAGGAAAGGGGTTGAGGCATCATTTGATGGCCCCAGACCAGAGGCTGAGGCAGCCAGACAGTCCCAGGGTGGTTCCCAGGCCTTTCACCGCTAGCGCCTGCCTGCCAGCCAAGGACAGCACTCCCTTCACACTCCTTTACACACCACAACATTTAAGGAACAGCTTGCTGGATTTCTTATTCCCTTTTTTTCCCCCCACATTTTCCTGATGGGAGGAATCAGTTCTACCCAGAGATAAAACCACTGGATGATGGGCTGGTGTTGGATCCAGTGCAAACCGCTGGAAACTGCCCATGTTTGGGGTAGGAATCTCATCCTATAGTATTTTTCAAATAATTACACTAATTCAACCCGTTGCCTTTTCTCAGCTGATCCCAAAAACCCTCTTATTTTTTGGCAGTGGTGAGATGAAATTATAGGAAGGAATAAATATCCAAAAGCTGATTTATTTTTTTTTTCCATTTTTTAAATTTTTTTTTTAATTTTTGGTAACCCATAATGGGCACAACCTACTCTTGGAGATCTCAAATTAACCAGAGATGGCTGCTTCCTCAGGGATAGTATCCACATTGTCTTTAGTTGAACAGGGAATAGTTTTATGCTGTGACAGGGTATTTACACACTGTTGGATTCAGGTATTTATTTGTCAACCATTATCTTTCTTCTTCCTTGTTTTGTAAAGGTGCTGATATATTTAAGTGCTGGACCAGTTTGGGAATTTTAAAGCTTCCACCCAAAATTATACCAAGGGACTGTAGGTTTTAAGTTGGCAATAAAAGAGGAGAGAAGCTCCAAAGTGCTGTTGCCTCTGGATAGTGAAGGGAAGAGTTTTGCTGCCTGTGGGGGTGTTCCTCTGGGATAACCATCCCATGGCATTTCAGGGGGGCTCAGTGCAGTGTCTGAGCCCCCTCTGACAGCACTTAAGTCTGGGAAAATTGGTTAAAAAAAAGGAAATTAAAAGCTTATGAAAACAAACGGGGGGAGCTCCTCGCTTCATCTGTGCAAACAGTGTGAGGAAATCTATCCCTCCCTGTGCACGCCGGAGCAGGCAGGTTACAGATCACATTGAGCAACTTGATGCCGGTTCATTTATTCCCCTCACCCGCCAAATTAAAAAAAGGGAAAGGAAAAGGAAGGTGCCTGGGCTGAAGCTGCAGGTGGGGAGATGAGGATGAGTGAAGCACCAGCACCCCCAGCTGAAAGCACTGCTGGCACAGGGCCATGGCACTGAAACCCCCTGGTACACTGGGAATCAGGGAAATGGCTCCAGGTTTACTCCGAGGGCAGAGCCTGGGCTTTGGCATCATGTGGGAAGAGGGGACGGGGCCGGTGTGAAGCCCAGAGAGTCGGGGACAAGCCTGATTTCATGGGGCTTTGGATCAGGGTCTGACTTACAAAGCAAAGAGGGATTTGTACTTTGATCCTATTTCCATCATTTAAACTTGCAATATCTTTATGTTTGTAAGAAAGTCGTAATAAAACCAATGCGAAACCTTTGTCCCAGTTCTTTTTGGGAATCAGCTGTTAGGAGTAATACTAAAAACCCAAATTGCAAAGCACTTTTCTACTGTTTATTTTCTACCTTTCTTACTTTGAATTGTCTTGATATTGAAATCCCACTGATCCCACGATTGTTAGCTCTGTATTAAAAAAATAATAATAAAATAAAACCCAGGTTTTTGTAGTTTGCTCTGTTTAGATTTTAGCCTGTGGCTACTTGTACAAGAAAAATAAAACTAGAATAAATGAGCCAGTGTGGGGCTTTTCTTTTCACATACAGGGCTGTGTGTGTGGGGATTGTTCAGGGCACCTTGGGCATCACCATTTCAAATGGATGGTGATGAATCTGGCTCCTCTCAAAGAGCAGCTTCCAAATTTCAGCATTTAAGGGCTGAGGGGTTTTTATTTTGATGCTTTGCTCATGAAACTCCAGCCAAGCCATCAGCAGAGCCCTGCTGGAGCGTGGAGGCTCTTTGGGAGCAGGGTGAGGTCTTGGCTCTTGCTCAGCTATTGCTGCAGCTGCTTTTCCTGCTGCCCCATCCCTGAAGTGTCCAAGGCCAGCCTGGATGGGGCTTGGAGCATTCTGGGATAGTGGAAGGTGTCCCTGCCGATGGCAGGGGGTGGGAACAGAATGATTGTTAAGGTACCTTCCAATCCAAACCATTCTGGGATTTGAAGGTGTATCCTTGCCCCAAAATGGGCTGTGAACCATGAGCCACCCTCCTGCCACTGTCCCGTGTGCTGCTGCTGTTGCAGCCCTCGGTGCCAAAGGACAGGCAAAGTAGAAGCTGTGGGGAATAAATGAGTGAGATTGAGCCCAGCAGCACTTTCTAAAGGGGTTTCAATAAGCAGCTGAGTGAAAAGTCACTTCAAACAACTCCCCGAAGCTCTCGGAACTGCTAAATTGCAGCATGGATTGTCTAAATATATACTTCATAATAAATACCAGCATAAAAACTGATTTTATTTCCCAGTGGCAACGCAAGAGGTGAAAAAAAGATCAGAGTGGGCTCACTTGGGGGATTTTCATGTAAGTTCAGTGAAATCTGGTACTGCAGATAGCAGCTGCAGAGCCAAGGTATTGTATAGAGCTTGTGGCTTTCATTAAAAAGGACTTTCCCTGCCTTCATGGCAATAAAAAAAAGGTCTGACAATATTAATCTGAAGTCTTAGAAACTAAGGAAATAAAAAACCCCAAGCAATACGTTTAAATCACTTTGATTTTGGGCTGTTGGAAATATTAAGAGCCCTCAAAAAAACCCTACTTGAGTGCTCAAAACATGTCTTTAATAGAAGCAATCTCCTTTTGACCATGTGCATTCAAACTTCTGCTGGAAACATCTCAAATCAACTCCTCAGCTACAGAAACACTAAAAAAAATTCAGTTGGGTGTTTCCAGCTCCAAACACCACGTTCCTGCCTCAGATTTCACTGGAGAAGATGTTACTGCTAATGTCCTAGTTATAACCCTGCCGACACAGGGAGAATTTATAATATCCCATAAAGTCCTAACTATTGGAAAGGTCATTTTGGCGTTAATACCACTCGGGCATCACCGCTTCATTTGCTGACACTTTTACAGAGCCACGCTTGATTCCAGCATGACTGCTGTAAAACCTTTACAGCAATGGCCTAAAGCCTCCAAAAACCATCTTAAAAATCAAGAGCAGGAACATCTTCATCAGCAGGTGCAGGTGGTTTGGAAAGGCTCTGCTCTCTCTCAGTGTGAGGTCCCCCAAAACCCAGGGTGAGCACCTTAACCCCCACAGTTCCAGGGGGGATTTAATCCTCAGATCTCATCTCCAGCCCTGTTATTCCCAGCACCTTCAGACCCCACCAGTGCTCGCTGCCTTGGCTAAATTAAAAGTCTCCTAATTTCATACAAAATTACCAACCCCTCGCCTTGCCCAGAAAGCCATTTCCTTAGTGCTAAAATAGCTAAATTAGTCTTGCTCTGCCTCGTAAAGGAGCTTGTCTTGTTTATTGAGCGATAAATATAAAGGTACAGTAACTAAATTCATCAGTCCCTAAACGCAGCCGTTGGGAATGGCCATTTCCACCATCCAATCTACGGCTGCATGAATATTTCAGAGTCCTTTTTCCCTTGGGTGCTCGCCTTATCTCTGGAGCCTGGATATTATTTTCTGCTTTTCAGCTTTTTGGATGTATTGGAGGAAATGTCATTATTTGGACCTGGGTGGATTACAGTTGACTTTCCTAAGCCAATTTATATTGGCAAGC